TCCGACCTGGCTTTATTGAAAAAGAAAAAAATAAGGAAAATAAACATTTTTTAGGTGACAAGAGCTCATTAGAGATATAGGGGACACAATCTGTGATAAGCCCGAAGTATAGACCACGTGGTAAACACTAAAGTTGGAAATGGATCCTTTTAGGAAAACTCTTTTAAAGCTCTGCAGGCTCTGAAAGTTGCAACAATAGAAATAGCTCATGAGACAATTGGAATTGGACATGGAAAAATATAACAAAGTTAAAAGTACAGGCCTTCTGTGTTGTTATATGTTTGTGTGTGTTATATGTTTTGTGTATGTTATATGTTTGTGTGTCATGTCAAAGTACACCACGTTGACCTTAACAAACTCTGGACCAATACTAACGTGGGGAATCGGCCTGTGATGTGACTGTGATATGAGTGTGATGTGTGAAATAAGGAGTGAAATGAGGAATGCTGAACGGAATCATGGAATAACAAATGTGTCTGTAATGTTTTAATGTGATCATGGAATAATTATTTTTTTGTCAACAGCATACGGTGTAAGTACTAGAGATTCAAAGATAACAAGCTTTATTGAACAGGTGTAAAAGTGAGAGTACTCTGGGATGAGTACTCGGAGAAAAGTACTCTGCGGAAAGTACTCTGAGATGAAATACCTTGCTGAAGACATTGGGAGTCCCTGCCTCTGCTGTTTGTCCTGACAGTGAGTCGGTCCAACCGCAGTGAGCTGTCGGTGGTTGAAGGACAACTTTGGTTGGTAAACTCACATTTAGGGGAGTATAAAATTAGAAACATACATTTTGTTGTTCTGTATCTGGCTACAGCCTCCGCCCTGATGCCACACACCACCTGTCAATGCAGTTATGTTTTGCCCAATTGGGAAAAAGATTGACAAGCGAAAGTGGGCATTTTTTGTGTTTTTTTTTTTGTGTTCTGATATTTCTTTTTCAGATGAGAGATAAACTACCCCTGCTCCAGGGATGACAGTAGTGTGGATCAGGAGGAAATGAGCCTCCACTTTGGCACAAAAGCCCACAGTATGAATTGAGGACGATCCGGGAGAAAAGCAACTGGAGATGAACGGAACAGCAAATCTACACACACACACTAGGTCTCCCTGACCCAACCTGGCCATTCACTCAGACTGTGGATGAGCGATGTGGGTGCATGGTGTCGGTACTTTTGCAGTCTCACGGAGGGCCACTGAGACCCACTGCTTACTTCTCAGCAAAACTCGATCCCGTGGCAGCAGGGTTGCCTCGCTGCCTGCGGGCTGTGGCTGCCGCTGAGAAAGCGGCCCTAGCATCACGTGACCTTGTGGGATACACTGAACTAACTTTGCTTGTGCCCCATGCTGTTTCCCTGATCCTGCTAGAGCAGAAAACCTCTCACCTTTCTGCGGCTCGTTGGCTGAAATACAACACGGTGCTCTTTGAACTCCCCAATGTCACGGTGAAAAGATGCACACAGCTGAACCCCTCCTCACTGCTGCCCACGCCAGAGGAAGGGGAGGCACACTGCTGTATCGCCACAATAGAACAGATACGCACTCCCAGGCCAGACCTGAAAGAGGTGCCTCTGACTAATCCTGACTTGATTTTTTTTATACAGACGGAGCCGCGTCACGTGACAACACTGGGAAGAACCGAGTCGGCTATGCTGTGTGTTCTGATTTTGATACTATAGACTCTGGTAGTTTGCCCCACTACCATTCAGCACAAACCGCTGAACTGGTCGCGCCCACCGGGGCTTGTGAGCTGGCAGCGGGCAAAACTGTTAACATATTCTGTGATACGCGCTATGGTTTCTCTGTGGTGCACGACTGGGGGGCACTGTGGAAACACCGCAATTTCATGAAATCTGATGGTAAACCAATTCTTAATTCCACACAGGTTGAACGTCTGCTGAAAGCTGTAATGTTGCCCTTAGAGATCGATGTACGCAAATGCCAGGCCCACACTAATGCCACTGATCCCATCTCTGCAGGGAATCGGCGCGCGGACAAGGCAGCGGCATACGCACCTCTACACACACACACACACTACCTCACTCAAGACGTTGATATTTTCTCCTCTCTGTCAGCGATGCAGACACTGGCTACTCCAGCAGAGACGCTGCTGTGGGAGGGGAATGGGGCTCAACGACGGCATGGTGTGTGTGGCTGGGACCAGACAGCAAACCGTGCCTACCACGGCATTTCTTCAGACAGTTTGCAATTTTAGCACATGGTCGAGACCATGCCTCAGAAGGAGGGATGTATGATTTAATCACACAAAATTGGTATACAAAGGGGTTTACGGCATTTCACAGAGATTCTGCCAAACATGCGCTATATGCCTCGCGCACAACCCAGGTAAGTCCCAAAAGTATCCAACAGGCTGCTCATCCTCCGCCCCTGCGCCCATTTCAACATGTCCAAAGGGACTTTGTTGAACTCACACCATGCCAAGGTAAGTAATACTGTCTGGGTCTGGCGGATCTCTGGTCCAAATGGACTGAATATTTGCATGCAAACACGCCACGAGCAACGCGGTGGTGAAAGCTCTGCTCACAGAAATTGTGCCACGATGGGGTGTCCCGAGGGAAAATCTCTAGTGACAATGGCAGTCACTTTGTAGCAAAAGTCATTGAGGAAGTGGGTGAATTTCTGGGCATTGATATACGTAAACACTGCAGTTACGCCCCCTGGTCCGGAGGCGCGTGCGAGCGAGAGAATGGCACTCATATACATGCGCATGAGAGTCCCATTCGAAATCCTCTGTGCCAGACCACCCAACTTGGGCGCGGGACCCCCGAACAGAGATCTGCCAAGCACCTCTTTGTGTGATGACGACATGCTGTCCTATTGTAAGGAAATTAATGCACTTTTGTCCTCTATTTCTGCCCAGGTCAGGAGCGCCCTGCCACAGGCTGCGCAGGCGGCTCTGCACAGGATCAAGCCAGGCGACTGGGTCCTGATGAAGGAAACGAGACGAAGGCATTGGCGGTCCAAGCGCTGGCTCGGCCCATTCCTCGCCCTCCTGGTGACGGACACTGCCGTTAAGGTCGCGAAGAGGACAACTTGGATCCACGCCAACCACTGTCGTACGGTGCTGCCACTGAGGGCCATAGACGAGGACACCGAGGGCGCGGACGGACCAGGCCCATCCGCGGCTCCCTACGCTGAAGAAGTCGGCCGGCGTGCGACCACCGTCGGTGAAGCAGGCCAACAACAACACCCAGAGAATCCCAGCGTTCCCGAGGCGACCCCCCTTTTGCCCAACTCCCCTGCCTCCGAATCCCGAGACGACCCCCTGTGGGGCACTAATGTACCCGATGACCACAAATTATGGACCACAGTGGCCATACTTGAATTCACGACCTCTTCAGGACCGGTTGGTCCTGGACCACCTGACCGCGTCTGTGGGAGGCGTATGCACGATCATTGGGTCGTCCTGCTGTACATATATTCCGGCTAATGATGAGGACGGAGGTCTTATCCAACAGGGCATAGCCAATCTGACTAGACTCCGGGACGCCATGCAAGCGGACAATGTCACGGACACTCCTCACGGTCTGGACTGGCTCCTGTCCTCCTGGCGGAGTGTGCTCATTAATCTTGGTTTAGCCCTATTGACTGTTATGATTTTGTTTTCATGTGTATTACCTATGGTGTTTCGGGCCGTTGGTAAGATGATATCCACCCACTTTGTGTCCATTCAATGCAAAGACCCCGAGGCGGACCTGGCCGCTGTCCCACTGAACTCCGATCCTGATTATATCAGCGACTCGGACGATGACTTTGTCTAACGTTTTTCTTTCTTGTTTACCTTGTTTTTATTTTTCCACTTGTTTCGCCTACAGTTTAGGGGAAGGGTATCACAGTGAAGAGCTTTGACCACACCCTCGTAATACAAGAGGCTTGGGTGACGGCAGCCTAGCCTGCCCATCAACAACTCTTGTTTTTGCTCAGGGGTCAAGGTCAATACTCACCCACCTGAATGTGATCTCTGTAAAACTGGAGTTTCTACATTATCACGGGAGAGGAGTGTGATGGCAATCTGCTTGTGACTCGGGGACGCCAACTCACCCCCCCCCCTGCTGCTCTATCCAGCTAACCTGCAGGAAGGAGCCAGTCCTTCCCGCACCGCCAGACAATGATGCAAATCACTGTCTCACCCCTGTCCCTTTCGCATCTGTATGCCTGCCTCTCTACATCCTGCATGACCATTGTCTGTCTGTTCGCACCTCCATCCCAGACGGCGCCAACGCTCCCCATGCGCCTCCTCACCGGTGGCCCCCTCCCATCTGTTGTGGGCGGGACTGGCTTTTGTGTGTGTCTTGTATACAGGAAACTCGGGGCTCTGCGCCCAGAGCTGGTACATGCTGCCTTTGTGTGTATGTGCTGGCTCTCCGCACGTGTGTATAATAAACTTACGCTCCTGATTTAAGACAAATACTTTTGGGCTTTCTCCTTGTTTTGGGGTATGTAATTCTACAACATTAGTGAAACACATGTCAAAAAATACACAGAAATGATCCGAAAGAGCAACATCGACCACGCTTATATTTGAAATATTCACCCCCTTTGTAACTAACAGGTCTAGAGTGTGCCCTCTGCTGTGGGTGGGGCCACTCACGTGCTGAGTGAGACCAAAGGTATCAAGTAAAGAACTCAGCTCTTTTGCATTTCTGTCATCAACATTATCCACATGAATATTAAAATCACCTGTAATAACTAAACTATCAAAATCTGTGCATACAACTGAAAGCAACTCGGTAAAATTATCAATAAAACTGTGACATGACTGCGGTGGCTTGTATAGAACTATGAAGAGTATTGGAGTCTAAAAGAGCCTAAATTACCTAGGGCTGATCAAGTTAGGGGAAAATCATCAAAATGATCAATAAAATCAAAAAAATGATTTAGGGTATTTTTTAATCACTGTGGTGGCTATATTTGACCCGAGGATATAGCACAAGGTTAATCCTAATACTTTAGGGATTTTTAAAGTGTTTTTTTCCGAGTTAGCGTGTCGTCTTTTTACCGAGCAGTTTCTCCGCCAGAGTCGTGAGCTGTTCGATAGTGAGCCCCCTTTTGGTGGTGGAGGAGAACTGCCAGCTCAGAACCTCGGCCACCTGGTCCCAAGTCCCGACCGGAGGTTTGGTGAAGAAGTTGACATTCTGAATTGGACAAAAACATAAACTTATAATTGGCTGTGGTTATCTGCTGAGAATGCTAATGCTAATGCTAAGATTGTGCTTTTGTTCCTTACCTTTGGATGGTTGGTGAGCATGTTGTACCACAGGATGGAGGCCCAGGCGTTTGGCATTTGGCAGATGTTAGAGATGACGACGACCGGGAGTGAATGAGTCTGGAAATAAATAAATGAATAAATACACAGATGAATCAGGGAAAATCAATAGGAATTTAAAAATGATAAAGGCCACAACACTGTAAAAAATGATGAAATATGATGAAATAAGTGCTTGAATTATGTGGTTTTCATATTAATTTCAATATATTTTGACTGCGTTAAAACAAGATTTGCCAAAGGGACAAAGTCATTTAGTCTTATTTCAAGAACTATATTTTTTCAATTTGAGGGAGACATTTCTTGTATCTTTTTAAAACAAGATAATTTTGCTTGTCCCATTGACAAATCTTGTTTTAAGGCAGTCAGAATGCAAACAAATTAAGTTAAAATTACTCAAATTTGACACCATTTCATCACTTCTTGCAGTGTAGTTATAACAAGTAATTTCTCTCATACTGTATGTATAAAAATCCGTTTTCAATCAATTTTGAATTTGTTAAAACTGATGGGTCAGAGCTTTTAACCAAGCAAAAATCAGCGGCTCATTAACTTCTGTGGTCTGAGCGGAGCCTGCAGGGACTTTGATGTGATCACATTTCTGCTGATGTTGTGTAAAGGAGCAGACGGATACGGGAGAGAGTGAACTTGTTCCTTTTGTAGCATTGTTTTACCTCTAAATTAAAGCCCATCTTTCAAAACACAATATTGACAAGTTCCTCATTCTCAAAATAGTTTTTAAATAAGCTTTTTCAGGCTTAAAAGTGAAAAAGACCATCGTCACTCGGCTCTCATCCCAAAGCTTCGGCTCTATCTTAAGTGTGTGAAATGTTTGGCCACACTTTCTCCCTTAGATAGATTTATGTATGTATTGTTTGTTTCGGACAGTGCATGTTAATGAGCTCACCTACATGAAATATTGTACATGTTTTTAGTGTTAGGGGAAACCGGAGCACCTGGAGGAAACCAACGCAGATCGTTCAAACACTGCCATTGTGCTGGCCATGCTTGTATGTTGTCTAAATAAGATGAAGACAGCATGTTGTGTGGTCTGTGTCAATTCTAGACTGTGGCTTATAATCAAGTGCGGCTTTTAGTCCGGAAAAAACATGCGCATAGTTCCATTCAAAGTGGCCTTTCTCACCTCGAGATCAATCTTCAGACCCTGGTGATAGACTTCAGTTTCAAAAGTGATGAGATGAAGCTCTTCTGTGACGATTAACGAGGCCTGGACGATACACAAGACATTAGTAAACGCTTTGACTCGGAGCAGAAAAACAAAAACATGAGATAATACTATTGCATCAAACTTACATCACTGTTGGTGCGTCCGCCGTTACCGCACCTCTGCTCCCTCAGGGTCTGCACACACACACAGGAAGTGAGTGCGACAGAAAAATATTCAAGGATATTTGAAGTAGCAATATGTAAGATTTCCATGTCAAGTCATCATTAAAGGGCCCTAATCTGTCCAAAGGCATTCATAAAACACGCTCTTTTCAAATACTTCTTTAACTGATAACAGTGGTTCATATTCAAATTTCAAAATTAGTTTTACAGCCCTTGAATCTTGTTATTGTTATCATTTTGATGTCCCGCCCTGCATCGTTTTACCATTCAAGAAGTTTGGGTTGCCAGAAGTCACAGCATCGAGCTAATCTCACTGATAAAGTAACAAATAATAAAACCAGGATTTGTGAAAAAGGTGTTGTTAATAGATTTTTTGTTGACAAAACTCTTGTCTAGATAGCGATTATGATCTCCGCTGAATTGGTCTGCATATCTGGCAACCTGAGTCAGGGAGAGTGAAGAGGTTGCAGTACCACTTTTGGCCAGATTTTTACATACTGCTCCTTTAATAACATTGGGTTCTAACATTCTTTGACCCGTGCCGCTTACTGAATATGTGCGGCTAATTTATGTATTTCCTATTGTGGCAAAAAACACAAACCATTGAAGCAGCTTTAACAAATAAAAAAGTGTGATTTGACTCTGTGTGTTTGTGTGTGTGTGTGTGTGTGTGTGTGTGTGTGTGTGTTTTCTTTGTTTAAATAAATTCATATTGGGTTTTGTTATTTCATTTTATTTAAATCTATGGCCTCTCATAGATGGGGTTGGATGAATGACATTTGGCTGTATTTTATTCTTTCCTCTTTGCACCGTTTTATGTACAGTATCTATGAATGCTGTATGTCTGTTACTGTTAAGTGAAAAAAAGTGATAATTCATTCGCTTACCAGGTGTTTGAACTCTGCTGACAAACTCCCATTGTTGGACTCCTCCATGTTCATGACTTTGGTGTTGGTGCCCAGAATGTTAAATTTACGTGAACTAAAGAAAGACAACATTTTAAGTCAATTTTTACTTATTTTTACTTGTTATTTATTCTATGTTTACAAAGCTAAAGAAGCAGCTTACCCGCGAATGGCAGCTACATCGCCCGATTCCCTGGAAAGAAAAAAAGCATACATTCAGATTCAGTATTTGTCGCCATTTGCAGTAAAACCAAATTGGAGTACATGTGCAAAAGTCTCCACTGTGCACCAGGCAAGTACATCAAAATAAAACAAGCTAAAAAGTCCAAGAAACAATTGTCAATGTGAAACCAATCAACAAAAACCTCCAATCTTGAGAGACTAGAACAGACCAATTCATTTTCAAGATTTATTGATTGGCGATTGGTAAAGCACTGGTGGTGGCTAGAGGGCAAAGTGTGAATAGGGCACAGGCGGAGAAGGAGGCAGAGCAGGAGCCAAGGTAGGAGCCAGTGGAGGAGCCAGAGCTTCAAGAGGTGCTGGTTGATAGAAAGTTGCTGCTTTTAAACTGCCCTCTTCGCTGTCATAAGTTGGCAAGGGGGCTGGTTTAGCTGTGTGATTGGCTGAGGGCGGGAGAGGCTGACCCTGGGTGGGATGAAACTGCAGTCTGAATTTGCGCTTAAGCTTCATAGGCTTAGGCCGTGTTACAACAGTTTTGAGTAGCAAATATTAACACTATGGAAAATACTCACTTATCGATACAAACTTTAATTTTCAGCTGGTAGTTGAGCTCTGGAAACTTCACCAATAATCTGAAAGTGAAGTAAAACAGTAGCGTTAACAACACATTAGTAACGCACGTCAAACTAAACATTATGCACAGTTTAGAGCATAGTTCGATTCGTAATCATGTGGTATCATTTTTTTCCCTACAATATCTCAAAATCAAGGAACAGGTGAATTATCTTTGACTACAAGTATGACCACTGTACGATAGTTTGTACAATGATTTCCGTGTCTGTCCTAATCAAATAAATTGGGCCAAAAACGTCTTAATGAAAAAATAATTGGAATATGAAAATTCAAAGCCCCATGCTTTGTTCACACACAAACTTGTTAATGCTAATTTCCTTGTTAATGGATGCTAATTTCCTGTCAGTATATCCTTACCTGACTTTGTTTGTGAACTGCACTCCTGTTTTGATGACCAGGGGCCTGTCCGGGTGCATGGGCATACACGGCTGTCTCTCCACCACAAACGCACTGAAAAATAACATTACACCAATGAGAAATGTGTTGTCAGACTTTATATCCTGCTCTAGAGTAACTAGGGTCCAGTAAAACAGGTTTCATTTAAAGGGCAGGTGCCAATACAGCTGAATGGAAAAGAAGCCATTTTGAAAGCGATGTAAAATAAAACGTTCAAAGTTTTCCAAGATCAGTTTTGATCAGTGTTGGGGAAGTTAATTTAAAAAAGTAACCTGTTATTTTATTCGTAGAGAGTAACTTATTTACTTACTATTATTACTACTATTATTGTGCTCGAGTTTGAGCGACCTGTTCTTGAAGATTGAAGAACAGATATTTCTTTCATGCTCTTTATGATCAAAAACACCACCACAGAGCAAGTAACATGGGGTTGTTGTATTTCATGAACACAGCTCTCACTTGGAGGAATAACTTTAAGACGTCTAACTCTGAGCCTAATCTACTCGAGTACCTCAGCGTCTGCGCTACAGGACGCTGCGTTTTCCTCCTCCTCAAAAGAAACTAAATTCAGCCTCACTGGTGCTGCTGTGACGCACTTTAGTGTCGGGTAAAGCGCGACACTTCTCCCGATGAGAAGCCACCACTAGTGGCCTCTCGCTTCACATACCATGTGTCACACACCATGTGTCACATACCATGTGTCACACACCATGTGTCACACACCATGTGTCACATACCATGTGTCACACACCATGTGTCACACACCATGTGTCACATACCATGTGTCACACACCATGTGTCACGCACCATGTGTCACGCACCATGTGTCACGCACCATGTGTCACGCACCATGTGTCACGCACCATGTGTCACGCACCATGTGTCACGCACCATGTGTCACGCACCATGTGTCACATACCATGTGGAATGAGAACTTATTGTGCGCGAGTCGTGACTGATGCAGCACGAGCAGATGCGTGGTCACTGCTGCCCACAATAAATAAAAAGTAACCTTGTGACAGTTACTAGTTCATCTGAGTTTAGATTATAAAAATGTGGACTGGCCCTGGAATTACAGAGAAATTGAACTCAGACCATAAATCTAGCTTCATGCAAACACCATAATAACCCAGGGTGCAGCAGTGATGGTACCTCTTCATGAGACTTCTAAACAGGTCGACGATCTTCTCCTCCAGCGCAGGCCGGTGCTGGATGATGGGGTCTCCTTTGTACGAGACCTTCTGCTGAAGCTCCTCCAGTTTCTTGATCTGCTGACGGATCTGCAGCTGCGACTCGGCCAATGATGTGATCCTGGTTTAAGAGCAGATAACCACGATTATAAATGGGTTATGTGAGCCTAGATATGAGAACTGAATAACCAAACCATATCTTATGTTATTTATTGCTGCTTTCCAACATGTTGATATTTGATATTTGAGACGGTCCACACTGCTGGCAAATGTGAGAAGTTTTTGGTGGCATATTGTGTTAATTTGAAACTAGAACTTGGGCTGTAATTGAGAAAATATATTCTAAAAAAATGCCCAGGTGATTGATTAGTCGACTAAATGAAATAAATCTTTGGAAACTAGAAGCAAATGTGAATCTTATACATTTAGATTGATCTGGCTTGTATATAAATGTTCTTGCCCATGGAAATGAGCAGTTTTCCCATAGAAATTCAATAATCCAATGAGAAAGTAAAAATACTGTATTTAATCCAGTACAAGGTGATGGTAAGCCTACATTACAACAGCAGTACTTTGTGTGGCACTGGCTAGTATAAAGTAATTTTCTCACTAATCAGAAAGTTATTGCCAAAATCCCAAAAGCCGAAGCTACAATACTCAGTCTAAAAACATGGCTGTTTCTCTGGTGTAGGGTCAGAGAGTGTTTGGGGCTGTGTCTTATCTGAGTGTGTGTATATATCTTGTTGAATGAGCGGGGTTGATCACCAGTGTTGTGCGTGAACGAGTTCAAAATAACGCGTTCATTGAACACGCTCAGTTTTTCGTGAACGTTGAACTGAACGCAACACATTTTTAAAAAAAGAACTTGAACGTGAATTAGTTCATTTTATGTGTCATGAACGGCAGACATCACTATGAACGTTGGAATCTGTTTTCTCTTTTGAAATGCAACGAGAGAAAGTTCCTCCCTCCTGTATTCTCACACTTTTTCCGCTGAAATCTAAAAATTCCTACGGTTTCCACCGTCTGTGAACGCACCCCGACTCCGTGTTGTGGTGCTTTTCACATGTGCCCGAGTCGTGATGAAAACACAGGGTGAGTTAGCGACAAAGTTTACACCGTTTACATTTGACATAAAGTATAGACACACGCACTGCAGCGCATTACTGTCTGTAGTTTATGAGCAGAGATGGAACAACTCCGTTTGGCTCCCATTGAAAACCATGTAAATCTTGTCTGTTTTGTAGTCAAAAGGCTCTCCTCCTGTGGGTGTACAGGAGAGATATAATATATATATATATATATATATATAGCTCGTAGTGTGAAAACAATATTTATTGAAGTATCTCACCAAAAAAGTAAAATGAACTGAACTTTGAACTAGTTCATGTGAACTTTGAACATGAACTGTTCACTTTGAGCATGTATGAACTGAACTTGAACTAGTTCAGAAAAGCTGTGAACTGGCACAACACTGTTGATCACACATACAAGCATACACACACACAGATACATACAAGCATACACACACACAGATACATACAAGCATACACACACACAGATACATACAAGCATACACACACACAGATACATACAAGCATACACACACACAGATACATACAGGCATACACACACACAGATACATACAAGCATACACACACACAGATACATACAAGCATACACACACACAGATACATACAGGCATACACACACACAGATACATACAAGCATACACACACACAGATACATACAGGCATACACAGACAGTTTATAGTAATCCTGTTGATGTTGATGTTTTGATCATTTGGTGTGGTTTGAAATAAATAACAACTTTATACTCTCTATACTACTACTACTATAGTACTAGTACTATACTATACTTTACTATACTATCCTATCCTATACTACCGCCTCACCATGTTTCGAGGCGGTCCAGGCAGATGTTGGGGGGTCCTCCGATGCAAGCGATCTGCTGCCTGCGCTTCCAGTCGGCCAACTCCTCGTCCGTGAGGTTCTTCTGCACGTAATCCATGGCCGTGAGCAGGCCTCCCATCTCCGTCACGATTTGCTTCAAGAGAATATGCAAGAAACTACTGAGAAAAGAGCTGTAAACTTATCCAAATACTATCTATTGAGAAATCACTGTGGTGGCAGAAGTTTGACTGATGACCAGTTTTACTATATACTCATTTTGGATAGAGATGTCCCGATTTCAAATGAGAGTCATGCTTATAGTAAGAATAAACACCATCTATATTTGCAATTATTGACCAAAGAACGGAAAAAAATCTATGTTCTTGACTTTCTTTCCACTAACATGCTACAATGAATTCCTCTTCTAACTTCATAAGTGCTTGACATTATACATATGAATGCATTTTCACGCTTACACTTATTCCAAAAGTCTTTGCACTGGCTTCCTGTTAAGGGGCGTTCACACCGGACTTAACTTCGGCGTCAAAAGCGTCAGGTTTCCATTGAAAGTGAATGGTGAAGCGCATCAGGTGAAGCCGAGAGCCCCGGCGTCACTTGACGCGCGTCAAAAGCTTCAAGAGTCGCGCGTACTACGCGCTCACTTGAAGCTTTTGACGCGCGAAACGCTCGCGTATCACAACAATCCCTTTGACGCCGAAGCTGAGCAAAGCTGAGCTTTTGAAGCTTTGACGCGGGCTTCAACCAATCAGGAGACGAGGAGCAGCAGCAGCAGCAGAGGGTCTGTCTCTGTCATGAAGAGAAGTCATGTATCTGCTGCTGTTTTATTGTCATTATTGTTATTAGTAATATTTTTTGTATGAGTAGTAACATTCTGAGTAACAAAATCATTGTACACATGCTGTGTAGTAAACGTAGTTTATTTAAAATAAGAACAGGCTAACGATGAGTCTGGCTCAGAGCAAGGCAGCTCCGGGCGGGCGAGAGCCGGGGAGAGGCAGGGAGAGGCAGGGAGAGGCGGGGAGAGGCAGGGAGAGGCGAGCGAGAGCCGGGGAGAGGCAGGGAGAGGCGAGCGAGAGCCGGGGAGAGGCAGGGAGAGGCGAGAGCGAGGCGGGGAGAGGCGAGCTCCGGGGTTTGAGAACTCAAACCGGGCGAGTGACATGCGGAAGTACCGCTGAAAGCGAAACTCCTCCGTACGCAGCTCCTGGAGTAAATGACGGAACTCTGCAAACACTGCAGCCTCTCAAGTCTGTGGTGAACCCAGAACATGTTTTGTTGAAGCCCTACAACAACGTTATTTTGCTTTATATAATAAATAAAGGCTCGCTGCTCATTGAAAAATCCACCGCTGTCCTGACTACAGACAACAGAGAAGCTCCTCCCACCGGCGTCAGGCGCGTCACTCGCGTCAAAAGCTTCAAGCACCAAAATGACAAAACTATCCCGCGTCAGTTGAAGCGCGTCAAAAGCTTTTTGAAGCGCGTCAAAAGCTTTTTGAAGCTTTTGGTCTGAACGCGCCTTTAGTCTTAGAATTGATGTTATGATGTTGTCGTTTGTTTTTAAAGCGTTGAATGGAATGGCCTCACAGTATGTGTTAGAACTCATCCAAATCTAGACGAGACTTAAAACCAGGCGGGGCAGGGCCTCTATTGTAGTTGGTCAAAAGCCATTTTGTACGTAAACCCACAGACTGAAAATGATGTATCATTTTCAGCTATTATCACATGCTTTTGGTGTGTGTATGGGCTCCAATTCATATCATGTCACTTATGTATGACATTTCCTGTGTTTTTCATGTTTTTTTATACCCTGTGCTGCTCGAATGGATTTCCCCTGGTTTGATAAATAAGGGAGTCTGAATCTGAATTAAAAATCTTACTCGGCGGAGTTGGTCCAGAGCGCTCAGCATCTGTTCCAGTTGAGTCATTTTCTGCCGCGTCGCCGCAGCAGCCTGACTGTTCCCGTTCAGATCCTGAGACAACTCTGTGAAACAAGACAATTATCATGAAATTATAGACACAAATTCTACTTTTACTGCTGCGTGAATGATGGATAGAAATGGAAGTGCCAATTGCTATTAAACTGTAAGTGACAAAACTAAGTTAAAATTGGGTGTTCCGGCCAAAGAAACCGCAGGCTCACATCTGTGGAATAGGCTGTATGTGTAACCGTGAGAATACTTTTGAATACATGCCAAAAAATGTAAAACTCGGGAGGAAAGACCAACATATTCTATTGGGCATAATTGACCACAGTCCACTAGTCCGTGTGGAGATAACAAATGACAAAATTTCAACACTCACTTCACAGACGCCACAGAGACATTTTCTCGTCTCCATAGACTCAATATATATGACTATTTATCCTGCCCAATATGTATATAAATTTACACTATATATGTCAACCCAATCTCTCAGAAAAGTGTAAAAGTCACATTGGTCCACCTCTCAAATTGTGAGAATACCACAGTTTGGGCTCTGAAACTGTGGCACTCTTACATATTTTTGTAATGCTGTTTTATGGGAGTCACAGTTTTCTGAAAGAGTGGGTTGTAAATATAGATACAGTGGATAGAGATATTAACGGCTTATTAACCAAGCAAGCGAGGTTAATAAATGTTTTATGTTTTCCTTATTGTGTTTTTAGTGTGATACGCGCTGCGGACCGATTGTCATGGTAATGGTCCGAGATGGGAAAATATCCGACCGCATTTTCAGCCAATCAGAGCGCGCAAACGGTCCAAGTCATATAATAAATCGATATATTGATGTTGAAGCATTTACAGCTCGCTAGGAAACATAGCAGCTACTTCTATTGTATATTTTGTGTGCTCCCTGTGTGCTCTTACTACCGTCTTGTATGTGCGCTGCAACATTGAAATGTCCCCACTGTGGGACAAATATAGGTTCTCTTCTCTTATGACTGATCATAGGGCTGTACCTCCTTGGCTTTTGAGAGTCTTGTATTTGAAATCAAAGTCGTCCTGGAGGTTTTCCAGCATTTTCATCTTCTGCTCCATATCCTGTAATGGCAAAATGGATGTCAAGCTACTTTTCAGTATTTATAGAATCTATTATAGTCTGATGATATTATACTGTATGTGATGTGATCTACACGTTATATGAACAAACCTGAACACGTTTCCTGATGTCTTGAAGGTTGTGCTCCAGAATCTGCTGCTTCTCTGTGACCACTGTCCCCGTGGGGTGTGCAGCCTGACCATCCTGTGGGAAACACATTTTAACAGTGAGTTTGATTTTAAAAGAGATACTGTTGTGTAATGTTGTTTGTATTGTAACTGTTTCTTATCACCCATGGATTATGCGTGCATGCGTGTGTGTGTGTGTGGCCCATCTATGGCCATGTATGGCCTATGTGTGTGTGTGTGTGTGTGGGCTATGTGTGTATGCATGGCCTTTCTGTGTGCATGTGTATTTTTAATTTAATTTTGTTTATTGGGGATCCCCATTAGCTTCCACCAAAGTGGTTGCTAATCTTCCTGGGGTCCCAGTTAAGACAACTGTATTACAAAAAATAAAATAAAATAAAAAAACTAAAAAATCAATACATTCATTAATACAGTACATTATTCAATACAATACATGAATTCACTACCATAATGTTAAAAGCATAGATCAAATAGATCAATTAGATCAATTGCCAAGTCAGCATCTGTAAACAACACAAGGCATCGGGGCATGAAGCCATGCATTATAATGATGCATTGTACATTTGATATTTGAGTTTTCTTTTAAAAATATGTAGAGAAGTTTGATCTCTCATCTCCCTAGGAAGCTCATTCCAAAGTTGAGTCGCTCTGAAAATAACAGTCCTTTTCAATGATTTTGTTCTGGGCCGATTGACGACCAAGTCAGCATTTTGAGCCTGCCTAGTAGAATGGGTGTGAATCTGATGTACATATGTGATTTTCTCAAACATTGAAATTGGTTCACCAGTAAGTATTGCTTTTTTCAGAAATATTAAAAGGCTATACTGTAGCTTATTGTGAACCAAAGGCCAGGATAAAATTGTATGCATTTTGTTTATACTGGTAAAATAAGAACAATTTAAAACCAGTCTTGCAGCCTTGTTCTGTACAACTTGCAATCTAGATAAATCTGTGTTGCATGCAGCAGACCATATAATGGGGCAGTATTCAAGATTAGATAAAACGAGGGATTGGACCACCTGCTTCAAAATTGTTGTAGGTACAAAATAAGAACACCTTCTCACCACACCAATAGCGCTACCCATCTTACTAATCACCCGGTCAATGTGCGGTGACCATGAGAGATGGTGATCCACTATAACACCTAAAAGTTTAATTTGCTCAACCTGTTCTAACTCGGCTCCCTCCATAGTCAATTTTAATTGACACTTTTCATGTAGACGTTGTTTACTTCCAACAAGCATAGATCTTGTTTTAGAAATATTTAAAATCATGTTGTTGCTTTTAACCCACTTGAGGACCTCGGCCAAATCATCTTTTAATATATTTGATATTTCATTCACATTTGAATTGGAATAATACATGGTCGAGTCGTCAGCATACATGACAACTTCAGTTTTGTTTAGTACATAAGGTAAATCATTAGTGTAAACAGAGAAGAGGAGTGGGCCGAGGCAGCTGCCTTGAGGTAAGCCACAGTGAATATCAGATTCTTTAGACAGGGAACCATTATAATAGACCTGCTGACTCCGGTCTGTTAGATAATCCTTTATAAGAAACAACGATCTTGTTGAAAGTCCATAGCACCTTAACTTGGCAATTAAAAGGTCATGATTGATAAGATCAAAGGCTGCACTAAAATCTAAAAATATAGTCCCAACAAAGCCACCTTTATCTAATTCCTGGTACCAGTTGTCAATCATATGGACCAATGCAGTAGTGGTGGAATGATTAGGTTTATATGCATGCTGGAACTTAGTTAGCAGGCTGCAGTCAACAAAATATGTTTGTATTTGGTCACGTATTAACGTCTCCATAATTTTCCCTAAAACAGGTAATATGCTTATGGGCCTACTGTTTGCCCCGTTAAATAATGTGTTTTTATTTTTTGGTATAGGGATAATTTTAGACTTTTTCCATTGGGAAGGGAAGACGCCACTCCTTAAACATCTATTAAATATGTGGCATAAAGGGCGTGACACAAACTTGGCAGCTAGCTTCAGAAACTTGCCTTCTATATTGTCTAGGCCAGCCGACATGTTTTCAGGCAAGGAACTCAGAAGGTTTTGCACTTTTTCTATACTGACAGCAGTTAGGTCAAAAACACATTGCTTATTGTCCATGATTATGTTTTTAATAATATATGAAGAAGATGCAGACTCACCAACACTCATGTTAGCTTTCAATCTTTGTATTTTATCGTTGTAGTAACGGTTAAAGTAATTGGCAATTTCATCAGGTTTAAAAATGCATCCATTATCAGTCTCAATGTGTCCAGGAGTTGAAATTTCATTCCGCCCAGTAAGTGAATGAAATGTTTTCCAGATCATTTTACAATCATGACTAACCTCACTAAATTTTCTTATATAGTGTTGTCTCTTTTCAAGCAAGTTTAATTTAGTCACAGAGTTTCTTAATTTACGGAACCTAGCCCAGTCCAATTGATTGCCCGATTTTACAGCAGTCGTCTTAGCAGCCTCTCTCTGTGACATAGCAGCCTTTAACTCAGTATCTAACCAAGGTGCATTGTTTGACCTAACAGTTCTCCTCTTTAGTGGAGCATGTTGGTCAATAAGTTGACAAAACGTATTGTTAAACATGAACAGAGCATACTCTGGGTTACGTTCAGAGCAGATGTCGACCCAATCAATTTTCTCAAGGTCAGATAAAAAGTCATTAACATTAAACTTGTTGAAAGCCCTTTTATTAAGAATCTTAGGTACACCTTTTGGAGGTTTAATTTTATGTATGTGTAGCCTGTGTGTGTTCATGTATGGCCTATGTGTGTGTGGCCTGTGTGTGTATGCGTGGCCTGTGTGCGTGCGTGTGTGTTTGCGTTTGCTCTGTGTGTGTTCATGTATGGCCTGTGTGTGTGGCCTATGTGTGTGTGTGTGTGTGAGTTTTGTATTGTGTTGTATAAGAAAACAAGGTTTGCTTCATTTTACCCCATTTCAAACAGAAGAATCATTTCAAACTGTTTATTTCTGTATCCTGAATAATTACTACATCATTACATAACCTCGTCTCATTAACGAGCATGTATGTGGTGTGTGTGCTGGTGCGTGCGTGTGCTGGTGTGTGTGTGTGCTGGTACCTGCGTGGCGGTGGTGGCGGTCTGCAGCAGCCGTTGCTCCTCCCACAGGCAGCGGGCCACGATGCGGGCGATCTCCATGGGCTTCTCCAGGTACTTGCTCTGAAGGTGCTGCTTGATGCGCCGCAGGTTGTGTTGGTACAGGACGTTATTCTCCTGCAGGAAGCGGCTGTACTGCTGGTCGATCTCCCCCAGCAGGTTGTGGAAGACCAGCGTGGCGTGGGACTCTTTGTTCGCAGCGTAAGCCCTGGAAAAACCACAAACAGGAACGTCTTTTTTTAAGCCCTAAATCTGGTTACAGCATTGCTCCCTCATCATGAACAGATATGAAGTTGTTTTCCATGTCCATGCTGTCCATTTAATAAGCTGTTTTGAGTTCTTGTGTGTGTTGAAACATAACGTATTGTGACAGACCGAGTAACGTACACATGTAATAGTTTGCAATCAAATTCTATTTTGGCATGTACAAATCTTTGGGAATTTTTTTTTAACAAATTTGAAAAAAAAAACAATGTAACTTTGCCCCCACCAATCGTTTTTTGATCGATAGTATGGAACCCCAGTAGTGGAGAAGAAAAAGGATGTTGAAATAGCAGAAGCTGAAAGTATTAGCACAATTAACAATCTCTATGTCTGCATATATTCTGAGTATTATCTGTTACCCTTATGTAGTGATTTCATAACACTTTGAAGCAACTGTGGTTAAAGTTCTCATCATTCTAACATATGCAGAAGCCAGTACTTTTCCACTTGATGTTTTGGTTATCTCAAGGTTGAAGCCACTGGCACTGTGGCAGCTGCTGATTGGAGGACTTCATTCCTCCCTTCTGTATACTACCACTTGCAGCCTGTAAAATCGTTGTTTGTCTCGTGTTCGTCTGTCTACCATCAACAATAAAACATGTCTTCTGTCTGAATTAAAGACACAATCCCAGACTTTGTAATCTTCTTCACTTAATTCATTTCTTTCCCTCTACTATGGCTCTTCCGGTACTCTGTAAATTAGATTCGTACACCCCCAGAATTGAAGCACATTGATGGAGGCACTGACCAGTCCTGGCTCTCGATCCAGGGTGCGAGGAACTGCCGCAGCTCCATGGGGAAACTGTCGCTGTACAGATGGTAGAGCTGCTCCAGGTACCGCGTCTCCAGCTGCTGCAACTGGTTCCACTGCGCCATGACGACAACTGGGCACAAAGATTCAATACACACACATTACTGAGGAGAACTCTTTCTGCTAGCATAGTTATCTAAATCTGGTTTTGTCACTTTACTATGAATCGAGGGTCTGAAATCTGCATTTGTAGCATTATACAGTATATTTGAAAATGTCTTCTGGATCAGAGTTTAAATTCAATTCAATTTATTTTTGTATAACAAGTCAACAACAAATCAGAAAATTTAACAGAAACATAGAACACAGAAATAATAACAAACACACAGGAGTCATTGGTCAATAGGGAGCAGGATGACCACTGGCCATAAATGTTATTAAATGAGGCCAAAAAAATCTTAGTTACGTTTGGCAAAGATGTGTTCATACCAGTTATTTTTTTACTTTTCATGCAAGTATTTGAAAGAACTGAATAGGAAATAGAGATTGGTCAAAAATTGTGATTTATTTCCCCCACACAAGATTCCCCAGCCATGGTTACACTTTAGTATTTACAAAAGCTGTGTAAGAAAGATATCTAAATGTATATATACATAAGAAAACGCCATAACACAAACCTTGTCTCAAATAACACTGTGACATCAAACATGTACAATAACCTTTTGTGTTTCTGTGGGTCACTCTTGTCTTTGTGGCTCGAGACAACACTCAACCTCCCAGACAGGAACGTATTGTTTTCGATGAAGTGTGAAAATAAAACTCATCAATGCTTTGTTAGATAACAAATGTATTGAACTGAAAGCTGATACGTACAAGTATTCATAATACATTAGAGTTTGTCCAGTTTAAACTCCAGCAGGTGGATTGCATCAGTAATCAGTGCTTAGAAGCTACATCTCTCTCACTGACAGGAAGATTCTGGCAACAAAAGTTGGATTAAAGTGCCCCTTTTAGTCTATGTAAGGTTCAAAATAAATTGGTGGACAAATATTTGCATAATGAATTACTATTGGTTAACCGATTCACTTGTTATAGACCTATTTTGAACAATGTCTGATCTTGTGGTCCGTGTCCCATACAGCTGTCACAAATCTGCTTCCTCTTTCACTGAAACAGGTGAGTAATTTATTCAAAAAATGCTTTGTCAGACGTATGATGAAAAAGGTTACATCATATCTTACATTTACTGTCCATGATTATCTATTTCTGGATTTTTTTCACTTTGTCTGATAACCAGAAGTAGTAACTTTTGCTTCCTGTGCTTTCATCACACTGGCATGATACTTTCTGATGATAAAAACATGACTAAACTGGGGCTAAACTGGGAAGTAGGACTTAGTCAACTCTGTATTTGGACTTGAGCTGCAGGAAATCTACGATCAAATAAGGTCAGGTCTTTTGAGGGAAACCAACCTTAAACACGTTCTATAATTGATAATATTGCTTGGACTTACACGATGCCCGTCCACTTTGCAGATGCAGAGGTACAAACCAATTCATTTTCCCCAAAGAGATTCCACAATAATATAAATTATACAAAACTTTTAAATACCAGTTAGCTAAACACCTACATTTATATTTGTACATTAGAAATCGCACATTTATCTAGACATTTGTTGGGGCAGTTCCGAATTTTAGTTTTTAATGTCAATAATTCATGGACAACACAAACCATATCAAAATTTAAAAAAAAAACACAACATACAAAAAATGGACAAGATGGGAGGGAGTATTTTAAAAACTCCAATGGGGGATAAATAATGGTGAATAGGTTTGATGGGAAAGTAAAAATCTGTCTGAAAATGTCAAATAAACGCATACAAGTACACTATATTATTGTTAAAGCAAGTGATATTGAATCATAGTTATGGCCTTATAGTGGTTGATTCACATTCACTGTTACAGGACCATTGTTTCTGATGCGTCACCATGAAATCACATTGTAATCAGGATAAAACCCCCCAAAAGATCCAGTTTGGGAATTTTGTCAATATCACCCACCAGCTGTTGCACTACTGCTGTTACATGAAGAAACTTGACACTGGTCCCACATGAAGTCAATAGAGAAAAAAGATCTGAGACACTACTGGTTTGGCTCAAGCCATTGGCAAAGGTATGAGGTTTCATTGTAAAATTCAATAGTTCAGGACAGTCACATAACATGCTTTTGTCTGCTGCTTTATGATGACAATCTATGACACCCTTGGCTCACGATTGGAGATATGACTTGAGCATGATTTTAAATCTCAATATTAATCAAAAACAATGTTATAAAAGAGATGAAAGACAAAGAACCACAATTTATGCTGCAGTGAGCTGTAAATCCATATACAACAGCTTGTTCCAGTTCCTGCCAATATCCGGCAATTTGACACAACACTTGAAGAGTTGACCACCATTTTATAGACCACAACCAACAACAAGAAAACATATATGGAGGCAAATTGTGGTCTGACCAGTTACTGACCTCAAAAAAAAGGGCAGTATTCATGCTGTCTATGCCACAACTGTGAGGTGGGATGGATTGTTTTGACAAAGAAAAAGTGCTCACGGTCTTACAATTTTTATGTGTTCAGTTTTTTCACAAATAGATAGATGGATAGATACTTTATTGATCCCCGTGGAATAAATTCAGATGTGTTTCTGCCCAGCAGCAGAAACACATCATCGATACAAAAATAAAATAAATACATAATTCTAAAAGTGGCGACAGTGGCTCAGTTGGTACAGCATTGGCCTCTGGGTCTGAAGGTTGTGGGTACGAGACCTACATCATGACTCCCACTGATGTCTGCTGTCGTTGTGTCCTTGGGCATACACTTAACCCCACTTTGCCTGAAGCCCCTGCTGAAAGATCAAGGCTCCTGTGGACTCACCACCTGCAGTGAGGGGCTGGTGCTCTGTGTACTGGGTGCAGCTCTGACTGCCACCACCCCGACCCAGAAATGGATTAAGGGGAAGAAAATGGATGGATGGATGGATAATTCTAAAAGTTACGAACAATACCAACAACAAACTCAGACAGATCCGTTGTACAGTCTCAGCTGAATGAATGAAAATCAATGAAAACATGAAATTATTAAAAGACTACGAGTAATTACACTAAAAATAAAGCTATAAACAAATAGACCAAGCCGCTCAAACAGGTAGACATGTGTGTGTGAGATTCAAAGGGCTGGACTTACCGTAAAGAACCTGCTGGTTATGTATTATGGGAAACGACTTCCTTCACATTTGTTTATACTTAACAGCGTACTGCATATGGGAAATGTCAGGGTTGGGACAAGAGAGACAGATGGGGTGACCAAAGCACTGACCTGATTCTATTGTGCACGTTACAATATGAGTTTACACTTCTGTAATGGGAGACACCAAAGACACACCGACTTTAGGAGCCAAATCTGCCTCATGCACACCAACAAAACAGTTATACTAGTTTTTTTTTTAACACATATAACTTTATCATAACAGTTCACCAGTCTCTTCTAAACGTATCCAAAACAGCAAGATATTAAAAATAATTGGTTAAATCCTGCGCCATTTAAGTTCTGTGGTTCAATCAAAAACTTATTATGTACAATCAATTGACAACTTCACCCTTGTGCTATACTCTGGTCAAATTTACCCGCCAAAGTGATTCAAAAATACCCTAAGAAAACCTTTTAAGCTGAATTTTGATGATCTTACCTACCTTGACCGGCCCCTGACTCATTTATTCCCTTAAAGACCCTAATTTAGATATTTTTCTTTGACTTTTAATAACATGTGGTGGGTCATTTTGACCCAAGGGGAGCACAAGTGATAACTAACACAGACTTACACATGTCCAGGTTGTGAAATATGATTATAAGACTCCAAATAATTATTTTGATTCAACTGTAGGTTGTTGAGAACTCTTGATCACAACACGATAACATTTTAAAAGTATTTTGTTTTATAGAAGACTACTACTATATAGTATAGTAGTAGTCTTTAAGACATTTATTAACATATTTGTTTCGCCTGGAGTTTGGTTTGCGCGTGCCCTATTGTAGCTGTTTTCACTGTTTATTTATTCTCATTTTCTGTTATAAAGGTCCACTTTTAGAAGCAGTTTTTGGCACAATCATCCCATCTGAAAATTTTCATAAAAATACTGGTACTGCAAAATCTAAAAAAGGCATACATTTCTTTCAATATCAAACATGTCTAGTACTTACAGGCTAGATTTGTCCTTTTACTTTGTTTGAGTTTCCACTAATGTCCCATTGCTGCACTAGACTCAGAAGATGAATATACCTCATTAACCAACACCAAGCTAAAAAACAACAGTGTGTAATGTACTACACTGTAATACTGTAGTAATATACTATAATACTGTAACTAACCACCTCATGCAACACTGTCCAAATCAGATTAGAAAAAGAATAAACAGGATTGAAGAATATGAATAGAAGTAGAAGTATTTAGTAAAACGGTTTTGTAGCTATAACTTTGAGCATACGATAATGGCACTAACAGTTATTTAACTCTTTCTCATCTATGTCAATAATATGTGTTTCACCGCAGGAAATCCTGCTAGCCTGCAACATCTCCATAATCGAATCTAAACATAATTTCCGGCTGCTCTCAGCTAAAAATAGTCTTCTACTTCACCACATTTCATCAGCTAAAATCCTTGCTCCAAAACCCTGATTGGAACGTCTTGGTCCTGCAGCAGCACATTGGCATAGAGCCTCTGCAGGGAGCATGGGCGTGACATATGACAAGAAAGCTGCAACAATATCAACTTAACCTATATTTTACACAATCATTTAACATGAATGAAGCCCAGACAGAAATATAGAGTCATTATTTAATGTGTAGACGAAGCTAGTATTTATATTATGACAATGTAATAGGTTTAAATGGTCTTGGATCGTAATCAATCAATACCATAGATTACACATACACAGTCAACAATAGGCTCTATATGTGCATGTTTATGTAATATAGGCTGTTTTCTGGTCTCTAAACTTATTAAACAAAAAAGTAAATACAAAAATTGGCCATTTCTCTTGCTGGTAATTGGTCAATAATGAAATGCTGATCGACCTATAGCACAGAATAGACTAACTACATAAATGTAAGAGTATGTCTGTGTTAAAGGTATATAGAAGGATTTTCCCAATTTTCCCTCTCCACTTTTTGAACAAAATTGTCTCATTTAACGAGTACGTATCACCAGAATGATTGACAGCCAATAATCTTGATGATCCGCCCGGAAGTCCTTCTATCTATCTTTAAGCATGTTTATTACTACTTTATGCATACAATCGAATGAAAACATTGAATCTTACGCATGAAACAATAGACATAGGCTTTCAATAATGTCAACAAACGAAATGCCGCATTACTTCAATAACTTATATAACATCGTGGGTGCAAAATGGTACAGCATGAATAACTTATGGAGCAGACATCTTCTAAACCAGACCATGGATATATGACAAAAACTATTGAAATGCAGACCTATATGACTAAAACAATTCTATACATGCAATAGAAACACAGAAAGACACCGCATTCCATGAATTCTTACCTGATTGGTTAAAAACCCTCTGGAAAGTTTAGCGAAAGAGCTGCAGACCACGCAACTAACAACGATTACCCGACTAAATAAATGTGATTAACTCAGAGGTAGACACAAAGACGCAATAATGGCTACTTGTACTTGCTTTCGTGTAGTTGTTAGCAAGAATATACCACTTGCCCGCTTTTTGCATCCACCTCTGTTTTCTCTCTCTCGTTTTCTCTGTGCTGACTTTTTCGGTCACACAACATTGACAAGCGGGTTGATTGACATCTCACGTAGCCAATAGAAACACCATTTTGCGTTAACGGCCAATCATAACAGAGTAGGCGTTTGAAGTAGGAGGGGCTTTGCATGGGGTTCGGTTGCGCGCGTCGTGTTTACCGTGGCCGTTCTGACTTGACACTTCCTCCCTCTGCTATGAGGTCAGAGAGAATGTCGCAGGGGAGGGGGGATATTCGATATGAGGGAACAGCGAGTCTGGAAGTCATCTGAATTACTGGCAATAGTGACGTCAGAGGTAGTGTAATAAGGCGAAGGCTGTTCTACACAATATCATAGGCTCCTGGCGCCTCTCTCGCTCCACAGAAGAGATTAAACCACGCTCACGAGTCGATGTTTGGTCACGAATGAAAGAGAAACAAGGGAAACTCTAGATTGTACAACTTGCAAGTAATAATGATTGCAAAATATAATCTGCATATTCATAAGTCAAGAATTCCAGAATTTCCAACCAGATTACATACATTTTGATAATATTATGTACATTTTTAGGGTAATAAACAAAAGTAAAATAGTAGCAGTAAGTATATATGTCACACTTAAAGAGCACTTGCACTTCACAGCAAGAAGGTCCTGGGTTCGATTCCGCCTCCAGGCTTTTATGTGTGGAGTATTTGTCAATCTTTTATATTGATTTTTATCCATAATATGTTTTTGATATATGTGTTTGAAATCCTCTTTTTCTAATCTATGATAGTCTTTTTTGTTTTGAGTTACAACCTTTTAAAGTCCAGATCCCTTAATTGACACTTGACTGTGAACACACTCATGTAGATGCAGGTGTTTCCTTCTGGAACTGGTCTGCAGGTCTTCATCACTCGCTATTCTTCTTTTCTTCTCTGCCAATGGATTGGCCGAGTTCCTTCGATGAAATCTTCTCTGCCGAACAAGAGTGTCCCCTTTCCACACAGCAGCAACACTGTCCTTGGAACATTCTCCCTCACAGCTGTTCCATAATAGAAGTGTTGTTCACAGTTTATGTCTAAATGTATCAAAATAGACTTAAACTTAGACTGAGACAGACTTTATTGATCCACAAATTAATCCATAATGTGGAGAATCAAACGTGTCTGTCTGTCCGTAATCATGTACGGCTAATATCTTTACTCAGACATGTGAAACTTTGGACCTTTTCGTGGCCCTTTAATGATTTCTCAGCAATCATTATCACTGTAACTTTCAGCATTGATGGTCATGGGTTACTATGGCATGTTATACTTCATTCTAAAGCCTGTTGTCTCAGAAAAAACACCATATAATTGAATAGTTATACTTATATAATAATAATAATAATAAAAACAGTAATTGGACATTCAACGATGATTTACAAAACACAAAAGCACAACTAAAACTCATTAAATTAAAGCTGTGTTACCTACATTTTCCCTTGCATTAATAATTCATGTGGGTTTGTAAAATGTTGTGAACAAATCAAACAGAACAAACAACAACAGGCCTTTTTAAGTGTTGTTGTTTTGCATATACTTAAAGGACAACTCACCCTCAAATCCACTTTTTTCTGCTGATAAACGGTATAAATGAGTGTCCAATAGTGTTGTCTACATATCCTGGTCATAATCTTGTCACTTTGGTGCAAATTAGTTGAAAGTTAAACTTTCTGCCTAAAACCGTTTGTGAGGCGCCATCTGCTGGCGACCTGTATTACTACAATTGAATTTTGAATCTGGCGCCAACACTGGCGCGGCAGCAAGACCTGACGTCTGAAGCAAGACCTGACGTCAGCAGCCCCCCGCCCAGAGCAATGTAAACGGCCCAGTCTCGTTCACGCCCCCTTTAGTCCTCCAGGCTACGCCTATTTAGAGGAAGATTTGAACAGGAAATGTGAGTAACGTAAGCTCCGAGGAGCGGGGGTGAGAACCACTTTAAGAAAATGCCCTGTGAGTCATTATTTGACTTTTTGGGTTTGGGCTTTTAGATTTTATGAGCCCATCTTAAGATATAAGGCACAAAATGTTTTCTTCTGTATATGTGCGAGGCCCTGCAGAAAATTATTGCGAACCGTTGGGCAGCAGACTATACAGGGTGCAGGGTATAAACAGACTTGTAAAGCACTGCGGGTTATTGGTTGTCTGTGGGAACTTATAAATGTGTCAGGTCTACATCCTCTGCCATTGATGTTTAAAATCCAGTCTGGTTTCTTTGTGTTGTGGTCCTCGAGGGGGACTTTAAGGGGATTTTTGTGAAATCTACTGACATGACTCAAATATTTGTGACTGAAGAAAATGTCACAGAATTCTTGTGAATGACACAGTCCACCGAGAGAAATACAGAAAATATGAGTATATGTTTTAATAAAATGGTTAATAAGTGTTAATAAAATGGATCAATGACACCACCAGGGCTTTGGGTGACTTTGATCTGTAAAAATGTGCTATATAATATTTTTTTTTTACTTTCACCCACTCCTTTTCAAACATGTGCTCAGAATTCATGTGAAGTTAAACCTTTTGTCTGTAAGTACATGTTTGAAATAAATAAATACACAAATACAAAATACAAGATTACTTAATTACTTACTTACAAACAGTAAATACAGCCAAAAGTCGATTGTGGAAGGACACAGGTCATTAAAGCGATTAACTGTGTGGTGTAACATTGCTGTACAGGCAAGACTCTTGCCATTTTTTCTTGGAGACATTTCAGAGGGAAACTCTCTGGAAAACCTTAGATTTGAAACCCATTGCGCTTCAATCCATTACTTTTTTTTCCAATTATTTCCATTGATGAGGCTTATTTTGACATGATTACTGTCTCCATTTGTTGTTTTTAATGTACTGTATCTCAGACCAACACCATCCCCGAGCCAGTGTCTTTGTTCGGTCCTCTTCCTCCCCTCTCTCTCTCTTCTTTCTCGCTCTCTCTCTCTCTACTCTTCCTTCTCTCTCTCCTCTTCCTCCTCTCTATCTCTTTCTCTCTCCTCCGCCCTCTCTCTCCTTTCTTCTCTATCTCTCTACTCTTCCTCTCTCTCTCTAACTCTCTCCTCATCATCTTCTCCCTCTCCCTCCCCCTCTCTCTCTCCTCTTCCTCCTCCTCTCTCTCTCTCTCTCTCTCCTCTTCTTCCTCCTCTCTCTCAGTGGCTGCACTCTCCTTTATTGCATTTCCAGTCGCATTGATTATCTTAATGGTTTTGGATGGTGGTGTCTGCGAGGGGGCAGGGTCACCAAGAGTCCCTCGAGTGGGAGATCGATTGGGGCTTGAGTGATTCCCTTCACTCTTTAAAACTGAAACAAAAAAGTGGCTAAATGTATCTCTCTTTCCACATTTCTTGGATCTATCTTTGTCCATCTCTCTTTCTGTTTCTATCTATCTGTTCACTTTTTATCTCTAGCTCCGGTTTTCTCCACCACCCAAAACATGCACCACATGAAAAAAACCTTATTTCTGTCATTATTTTTGTAACGTTATTTTCTATTTTTTAAATGTGAGTTGTTCTCCTTGGTGCTGGTTACTATAGCAACATACCGTTTGCCGTTTGTAGTTTGCATTTGGTTTTTAATCTAGCCTTTCAGCAAACTGTAAAAAAAAATACCTTTAAAAAAAAATAATTTGGGGGATTTTTCACAGAATTCCATTGGTTTGAATGGGAGAATATTCAGTGTGTTCCATTCACACACTGGACATTATCATGGTTCACAGTGATTAATTTAGTCACTATGACCATTTCACAACAGGGACATAAGACAAAGATAAGATACGCTGTCACCATGGAAACAAACTGTTCATGTGTTGATCCTAGTTTGAGGTACTCTATAAACACACTTTCTCGAGCAGAAAACATTGGATTCTAATAATACTAACGTTGTATGATTTTTTTTTTATGAATGATATGTGATAAAATCGATCCTCCTGCTTTTGTGTGTTCTTGTTTGGATCATTGAAACAGTTTTTTTTTTTTTAACGATGCCTGAACAAGAAGTAGCCGTCTCCCCTCCAGTTAGTGCAGGGCTCTTCTTTGACCGCCAGTGTCCCACTTTAAAATGGTGGTCCTAACTTTCAAAGCGTTGCATGTTCAAGATCCTTTTTACCTCAGATCTGATCCGCTCTGAGGTCTGCATCTGTGGGTCAGAACCATGGATCTATAAGGTCAGAACATCCCTCTCCGTCAGATCGAGAGGAGAACGGGACCGAGGCACTGAGTTGTTGTGGTCCTTTTAAAATGTGTGTATACATGTTAAATTACATTTCTTGACATTGCATCAGATTTTATTGTTTTATTCCCCTCACTTTTATTTTTTATATACAAAAACCAGGCACACTTAGTAATAAATGTGTTTATTTTTCTCTCTGTGTAGCACTCTGGACACACGTTTTATAAAATGTGCTTCAATTAGGAAGTGGATTGGGAAATATACAGTTACCGTGGAGTCTATAAGTTAATGGTATATTTACTAATACAGAAAAGTGTATTAAAATCCATTGTTCCTGTTGAAATAAATGAATTAATACATTTTTTTTATTTTTTTTTATCATAATTTTCATTCATTGCATGTGTTAGTACAGTGTAATATGGATGAACTCATGGTCATTCCAGAAGACAGAACTGTTGGTGTTGAAGAGAAAAAAAGACACAGTTTGTTCATGTATTTTAATTTTCCGTATATTTCAAAGTGTTGAGGGCCCGGACACAACTCTGACCACTTTCTGACACGTACATACTTTGACAATCAGTCCAACTCTAGAGAAACGCACACTCCAACCACAGAACCACTCTGCTGCTTATGGTAAAGCCGTCAACAACATGTGCGAGAAGAAGCTAAAAGCAAAGTGTAAAAATATAACGCGCAAACCACCCAAAGGTTTTAAAACAGTAGAAAAATATCTGAACCGTGTAGATTTCAACTCATTTACCCAATTTTTCCACAGTGGTCTCTAAGGCTTTTTAACAATACAATTTAACCCTCAAAAATCTAATAATTATACAGCTTACTAATAGCGTTTGTCTCATGCTTAAATCATATAAATTGTTAAAAATAAAAAATTTTTGAGACAGCAATTTTTTTTTTAAGGTGCTGATAAAACATAATAGGAGTATAGTAATTACAGACCCTCAATGTGACCTGTGCTGACAATATTATTATTGTTTTGATCTAATACAACTTTTTACTCAACCTCCCTCTACTATAGCGCTAAAATTGTGTTATTGCTACAGGTTTAAATCCGATGTATTGTGTTATTGCCGGGCCGTCGTAAAGAGGTCCAACTCTTGTATATAAATTTAACACAAACACAAAAACGCCTACTAGCAAAGTAACTTAAAAGCAACAAATCGACAACTCAACAAAACGTAAAGTAATAATACACTCTGAAAACAGATTCAATTTCACCGCTTTCTTTGGTTGTTTTAACAAATCTAGTTGGTAGTTATGTGTACGATCGATATTTGAGTTAAAACTACCACCAATCACTCCACCATGTTCCAGACAATGTGGGTGAAGTGTCTTGCCCATGGACACAACAACAGTTTGGCACATTACAGCTGGAGTCCCCCCACTGAGGCACCTGGATAGAGTCCCCAGAGGTCTCCCATCACAGTACTAACCAAGCCCTGCCCCGCTTAGCTTTGAAGGTCTAGTGGACTCAAGCTTTCACCTGCATGCGGCACCACCTCAGACATATATAACTTATGGAGGTGAATGGAACTCAGGTACGATGGGAGAGCTTTTGAACATATTGTTTTTGTATCGTGCCAACCAATGCAAAAATGGTAAATACATATTATACATCTCTGGTCAAGATTCTGGTAACTAACTAATATGTGATTCTATTAATGTAAATTTCTCCATTGTGAGATTAATAAAATGTATCTTATCTTATCTTATAGGCTTAGTCAGTCACATTTGTAGTTTTTTATCACCCAATGTGTTTTTAGAGTGTATTAAAAAAACATTAGTGCTTTTGTTTTTGCCCCTTGCATTAACACAGCTCCACATGACCACCTCAGTCCACGCTCTCCCACCATCGCAGGACTGTCCCCGTTTACAGGTCCTTCATATGAGATCCATAACTTAAAAACAAACACATACGGTATCTCTTTGGGGGGAAACACATTTCCAACATTGCAGGTGAAGCGCTCACACGTGAATCTATGGCGTTGGTGAAAAATACAGCACATGAAAAAAATGTCATTCATTTCCAAAAGTCAAGTCCGTTTTATCCGTTTGTGCTCTCTCTCTCTCTCTCTCTCTTTCTTTCTTTTTGCGTTTTGGCCTGACGTCGGCCCAGGTCCATTGCGCTCTCCCAGATCCAAACAAATGGTTCCATAAAGTGTCCCAAAATTGGTTCGACAATGAATGACAACGTTTATCCACCCTGTGTTCACTCCCTAAAAAACAAAAACAAAATATTTCTGAAAAGCGCTTAGGGGTAATTCCTCTACCATAGATCTATAGTCTTAATTATATTATCTTAAAAGCCCTTTTTATTTGCCTCTTTGCGGCTAATAGCCAAACCAAACCACCTCAGCCAAGCATTCAGCAGCGACGTTAGTGTACACAAATATATATATATGAAAAAGTCTCATTCATTGCCTTTTGTGACCACTAGAATGTCTCAGTTCTCAACAAGTCCGTCCGATTTTCCGTCTCTCGGCTCACTTCTTGTGGTGCCCTGGTTCCACCGTCACCACCTCCGTCACCTCCAGCAACGCCTCCACCATGTCGGGAGTGTCCAGGTGCACTAGCTCCTCCTCCTCTTCCTCTTCCTCTGGGCGGAATCCATTCTCGTCGGTAATGGGGACCTCCACCATCTCCGTCTGGTTCTCTCCCACCTCCGCCTCCTCCTCCGTCTGGCCGTCGCGGATCTTCTTGACGTGGAAGGTGAACGGCGGGACGCGGTAGACGGTGTTTCTGGAGCGGGCTTTGATGGGGTGGTCCGGGGTGAGGGATTTCTTCAGCTTGTCCTTGGAGCTCTTCATCTTGGCCCGGCGCTCCATGTTGGGCGTCATGCGAGTGCCGATTTTGGTGATTTTTTTCTCCAGGGTGTGCTTTGTTTTCTCGAAATTGTCGCGGGTCTTTTGGCGGGTCTTCTCCAGGTTCTCCTTGGTCTTGAGTTTGGTCTTCTCCAGCTGGCCCTTGATGTTCTCCACTTGCTGCTTTGTGGAACGCTGCAGCTTTTTACTGCGGGATTCCTCCAGTGGTTTCTCACCCTGCACAGAAAAAAAAACAAAAAAACTTAGTATTCTCCTACTCCATCTCTCTGCTCTCTCTTTATTTCTCTCTCTCTGTGTGTTCGCTCAATATCTCTGTGCTCTCTCTCTGTTCTTTCTCTATCTATGTTCTCTCTCTCTCTGTTCTCTCTCTGTGTTCTATCTCTGTGTGTTCTCTCGCTATCGCTGTCCTCTCTCTCTCTCTGTGTTCTCTCGCTAACTCTGAGCTCTCTCTCTGTGCTCTATCTATGTTCTCTCTCTCTCTGTTTTCTCTCTGTGCTCTCTATCAATGTTTTCTCTCTCTCTGTTATGTCTCTGTGCTCTCTCTCGCTATCTCTTCCTCTTTCTCTCTCTATTTCCCTCTGTGCTCTCTCTCTCTCTCTCTCTCTCTCTTGCTCTGTTCTCTCTCTATTTCTGCTCTATCTCTCTCTCTCTCTGTGCTATCTCTCTCTGTTCTCTCTCTATTTCTCTCTGTGCTCTCTCTCTCTCTCTATCTCTTGATCTGTTCTCTCTATTCTTGTGCTATCTCTCTCTCTCTCTTTCTCTCTGTTCTCTCTCTGTGCTCTCTCTCTCTCTCTCTGTTTTTTCTCTGTGCTATCTCTCTCTCTCTCTATCTCTCTCTGTGTTCTCTCACTCTCTCTGCGCTCTCTCTATCGCTGTGCTCTCTGTCTCTGTATTTATCTCTCTCTGTTCTCCCTCTATCTGTTTTTTCTCTCTCTGTGTTCTCTCTCTCTGACATCTAACATCAGTGACCACATTATTCCTCTTGATAGTAAACACGTTTTATCTTTTGCTTACGTTTCCATTTTGTATTTCCCAGCGATCTGATTGGCTGAGGGCGGTACTCTCTTTATCATTTCATGAGAAAAATGTGTGGTTTGAAAGTACCATAAACCTACGTCATCAATTTCAAGACGAGACTTTTCACTTGACAAACTTAATCAGGTAAATCAAAATCAAAGTTCATAACCATGTCAAGTTTTTTTTCCCCCACGAATCTCTGTGAAGTCTAAGACTATATCCACACGAAGACAAAACGCGTATAATTTCAGAAACTTTTTCTGTAAACACGGAGTTAGCTCAGTAAATGTGTGCGTCCATATGAATGTAGTCAATACGCCTGAAAACGCTGTGAAACTATGCCAGACCTGTTGGTGGCGCTGTGACGCAATGACGGGATCAAGCCCAAACTTCCGTGACGGGAACTGGGCATGCGCGGAATTTTGTAAACAGACAACATGGCGAGTGGGCGAGCTGGTACTACATTAGTATGGACGGACGATGAGGTTGAACTGTTGCTTCGGGTCACACTGGATTACAAAACCAACAAGCTACATTGTTGTTGTCATTATTTTCTGAGTGCGGCGCATGCGTGCTTTAACAAGAGGCGGGGCGATGACGCAAGCGTCTCAGATACATTGCGGAGAGTCAGTAACCACGGAGCGGCATATACGGAGTTTTGAAATCTTTCCACTCTGGGACCTACTTTCAAAAATGTTCGTTTACACCCCCCCAAAACGCCGGCCTCGTATGGACGATACACTGGATTGATAAAGTATTTTTGCGTTTAGGCCTGAGCTTGACTTCGTGTGGACAGGGCCTAAATGAGGTCTAAAAAGCAGTGAAATCTTCCAGACCTCGATGTCTTCGTCTGAGTTGACGTTGGCCTGATGCGTGTCCTCTCCAGCCTCCTCTGGGATCTGCTCCAGTCCCTCCACCGCCTCGCCGATCTCGGTTTTCACAACCTTCGGGCTCTTATTTGGATCCTGCAACACAAAGTAATACAACACAAGTCAGAAATATACATACAGTATGGTTTTTTTTTGCCGGCGTTTATTGAGAAACATTTGACTTCATTATGCACAGTGAACTAGGGTGTGTCAACAGTAAAGTGACAGTGTGACTAACGTTTACAATAGTTATCTTTAGCAACTACTAATGGTCAGAAGAGGGATTTGGATGAATGAAAAACATAATATAACTTTAATCAAATTAACATAATATAATTGTTGGCCTGTTGTCACACTTTTGGACTCTGAGGAGCACAGGGACTGGCCTCCTGCGCGTCCCGGAGTTAGGACAAAACAGAGAAGCAGCGTTTCAGATTTATGCAGTTTCAAATTTATGTCAATAATAGCAATTTCCAACGACTATTTTGTGTTACATATTATTACAATCCTATTTCCAATGTGTTCACTGTCCTTGTGTAGTCAAGTGAACAAATAAGGATTATGATTATTAAATTAACCCCATTGGGCTCTCATTCAAACCACTTCCCCTCCTTTTCCCACAATAAACTGTTTGACATTTACATTTAATTAATTCGTAGCAATAACAATGAGCGACACTGCCAGCTGTAATTATTACTTTCTTTTCATTCCATAGGTCAGGCTGCGGTAAAGTTAATTGCTTTTGGAAATGATTGGTTTTGAACCGATGGAGCTATATGTCAGTACCGTAGACTTACTATAGTATGAGTCTGTGTGGCCATCTAGTGGACGAAAGTAGAATGCAGGATGACGCAAAACTATGGCTTCAACCAAAACCATACAACAATTACATCCTTTTATTCTTCCTTGTGCTGTTTTGTTATCTTTTAGTCTGGTTTTTGATGACCTTTGTGGCATTAAAGTTGACACAAGTGGTATTAAAACTCATTTAAAAGTATTTATAGAACAAGGAAGATGAAGGAAAGTGTTTTTTGCTGATTTTGGATGCAGGCTACATATATATGTTATACTGGTGTCTTTCATGATGTCAGAATTAAAACCAAATCAGAGATGGAGTCTGAATTGAATGTGAAACTCAAAACTGTGAAACAGGTGCAAGTTTGTGCTAATTTTGGTTTTTGTACCATTCTAACACACAAACAGGACCTGAAAATGAGGATGTGTCGTCTTTGTGTTTATTTACAGCTATTCCACGTGGAGTCCAGCAAAGTACATCAACAAAAAATAACAACGTCTAATAACTTGCCAAAAAACGCAATAGTAAAATACGTTAAAAAGATAATAATAATAGCAAATATGATGCAATAAAAGCACATAAAAGGCATCCAAAGAACATGTGTAGAACATTTTACATTTTAAATTAATTATTTTTAGGTATTCTTGGTCATTCTTAATAAACAACAAAAAATATTTCTAATAAAGTAAAAGGTTTTTTTTTTTTTAAAGGAGCAAGCTGTTTTTGATTAGCCAAATAAGCCAACAAAAATATCAAGAATCTACCTTTCTTTTAGTCCTTCTGTAAAATTATAAAAGTATTTCCATCCTTTTCATTCTGCTTTCCTCTCGACGTGGAGAAGCAGCGTCTCTACTCCGAGCTCTTCCCGTTTGACAAAGCTTTTCAAGAGAGAATCCAGCCCCTCTAGCTTGTGTCCACGTTCTTGTCCTTTCGGTCATTACCCAAAGCTCAAAATGTTCCCACTGTAGGAAGAAATAAGTATCTCTCTTAAACCCATTAGGTGCCGTGTTATTTGAAGTAATGTATTGTGAAAATGACAATACAAGAAAAGATATAGTCTGGGATAGTGGACTATTTTCATCAATAACCGAAAATGATTATGGCTGAAAAATGTAGGGACTCATTTGTGGGAAGTCAGGTCACTGTATAGAAAGTGTCATGGATTTAGGAGCAATTCTGCTACTTTGGCGCCTGGAGGGTTAATCTTAATCTGAAAAATGCAGATTTATGTTTAAAATTCAGTATCAATTTCATATCAAGACATCATTTGCAAATTGAGTCATAAAATTCAGACCTGATCTACTGGCTGCATTTATATCTACTCCATATCCAGCCATTTGATCCCATAGTAAAAGTTAAAACAGACGTGTCTTTCCTGTCGTTGGGATTTGGGAGTGGGCTCTTCTTTAGGGAGGTATTTTAGGCCCACAGCAGCAGCCTTGTACCTCAGACCTCAGCACGGGACGTCCCACTTGACAACATGTAAACACAGTGTGGTCTCTACAGCAGAGAGAGGAGAGAGCAGCTGACGACACAGCAGCAGCTCAGGCTCATGGGGCTCTGAGTCTGAGCGGCCGCCATGAGGGAAGGACAGGCCAGAGGGAAGGACAGGCCAGAGGCAAGGACAGGCCAGAGGCAAGGACAGGCCAGAGGGAAGGACAGGCCAGAGGGAAGGACAGGCCAGAGGGAAGGACAGGCCAGAGGGAAGGACAGGCCAGAGGGAGATGGGAACAGGCTAATGGACCACAGGGACAAGGATATGGGGATACACAAGATCCAGAAACAGAGAGAGAGAAATATGGGAGGACTCCAATGGACCAGAGAGGGAGAGAGAGATACAAGATACAATAATTTATTCTCCATTTGCAGTAAAACCACAGTGGAAAAACTGTGCAAGACTACCCCAGTGTGCACCAGGACGACACACACCATGTGAGAGATAGAGAGAGAGATAAATATGGGAATACCCCAATTAACCAGAGAGAGAGAAAGAGGGAGAGAGAGAGAGAGAGAGACAGAGACAGAGAGCAAGACATAGAGAAAGAGAAAGAAACAGAGAAAGAGACAAAGAGAGAGAGAAACAGAGAGAGATAGAGAGGGACAATCTTCTAAAGTCCTCAGAAACAACCACTGTTGAGTATAAGGGCTAAACAAAAACACACTGAATTGAATTGAATTTATGGTGTAACATTTGTTTTATCAGAACTAAAATCACGGAGCTCTTATAAAACCATGTTACACTGCCCTCCTGTGGATGAAAAATGAAACGACGTGCCCTGACATAAACTTTACAAACTCATGGACGTTTACAACACTTACACTTAAAAGTTGAACCAAAATAAAGATGTATTTACCCAAAAGTTGCAAATATTTATTCAGAATCTGGTAAACAACACGAGTAGGACTTCTTTCCATGACTCAAGCGCTCCATTCACTAGAACTGCTCCACTTTCCCCCCCAAACAGACCCACGTTAGCTAACAAGGAAATATGGCACATTTATGCTAATACGTCTCCATGGATACAGGCGTGAATGCACTAGTGTTTTAATTATGTTAACACTGGTCTGTGTGCAGTGAAAATCAGTAAGGTAAATGTAAATCCTGTAGAGATAGTTAAGACTGGACTAAGTTAAAGAAGTACAAACTCAGGCTAGGAACCAAACACACTAATGTTGCTTTTCCATAGTCACGGTTTGGCACGGTACGGCACGGTACGTTTTTCTTTTTGCATTTCCACCAGAGTTGGGGTCAGGGTTTGGGTAAGTCAGAACAAACAAGACAGTTTAGCGTCTAACCAGATGTGCAACATGTGTGAGACTGTGCAAAGCTGCTATTGATAGTTTATACATTCATTGTATTACATTACGTTAAAGTGTATCTAAGGCGAGGGTTATTTACGTCTGAAATGTAAGGCTGCAAAATACGTACAAATGTAACAACATATTCTATTTCAGGATGTAAGAGTATAGATGATAATATACAACAAAACATATAAAATGCACTCAGGAAGAGCTGGTAGCACTTTGGATCAGTGTTCCCCAAACTTTTGTTGGATTTTTATGGATGGTGTTGACAGCGGCAACTGACATTGCAACATTCATTTGTCTGTGGATGGATCAGACTCTGAGGAGCACAGGGACTGGCCTCCTACTGGGACTTTGAGGAGCACAGGGACTGGCCTCCTGCTGGGACTTTGAGGAGCACAGGGACTGGCCTCCTGCTGGGACTTTGAGGAGCACAGGGACTGGCCTCCTGCTGGGACTCTGAGGAGCACAGGGACTGGCCTCCTGCTGGGACACTGAGGAGCACAACGGACTGGCCTCCTGCTGGGACACTGAGGAGCACAGGGACTGGCCTCCTGCTGGGACACTGAGGAGCACAGGGACTGGCCTCCTGCTGGGACTTTGAGGAGCACAGGGACTGGCCTCCTGCTGGGACTCTGAGGAGCACAGGGACTGGCCTCCTACTGGGACTCTGAGGAGCACAGGGACTGGCCTCCTGCTGGGACACTGAGGAGCACAACGGACTGGCCTCCTGCTGGGACACTGAGGAGCACAGGGACTGGCCTCCTGCTGGGACACTGAGGAGCACAGGGACTGGCCTCCTGCTGGGACTCTGAGGAGCACAGGGACTGGCCTCCTGCTGGTTCCCAAAGTCAGGACTAAACATGGGAGAGGCAGCGTCTCAGATTTATGCAGCTAAAATCGGGAACAGGCTTCTTCTCTGACCATGTTGAAATCCAGGTTAAAACAGTTCTGTTTAGCTGTGCATATAACTGAGGGATTTTATCTTTACTCTTTTTAATGAACTGTGATCATTTATGATTTGAATGCCTTGTTTTGTTCATCCTTCTGACTTAAAAAATAATTGTGCGCTTAAGTCTAGTTGCACCATAAGGCTTGTGTTTTGTTTGTTTAATATATTTTTACTGCATTGGTTGTCATTAAACGAGCAAGAAAATATGTTCTTTTAGCTCTTTGAGGTTTCCTGGAAATGTATGGTGCATCATAAATAAAATGTATTATTATTATTATTATTATTATTATTATTCTAATAACATGATGACGGCAGGATTTGACTTTCTGCTCGACAAACACATGTATTATTCAGGAAACAAAACACGTACATTCCCCACCTTTTAAATATAATTTATAAATATTTTTATTGAGTATGTATTGTGGGGAAAACAAAAACAAGTAGTATAGTTAATATTTAGAACTGTACTATGACATTCACTGCAGTATATAATCACATACTATTTTTGGAAGGATTTTAAAGTAGATTTTCTTTGCTCCAGATTTCTTTCCAGCTCTGGCAAACATGGAAAAGTGTTGTGTGTGTGTGTGTGTGTGTTTTACAGACAGGTGCCAGAGCAGAGACTCAAAGCTTCATTCAACAACACGAGTGGAAACCTTTATACCCTCTGCGAACAAGACGTCATTTATTTCACTCGCACAGAAACAACATGTCATTGGAAAAGCAGTTTGAGGCTTAAAAAAGCAACAGAAAAAGTTACACAATTGCTTTGCATTTGACATTTGGCACGGCAAGTTTTATATGGACACTCACACACAGCATTAAATCATAAATTACCAGAGTACATTGAAAAGAGTGAAGTGACAATCCCCCTAAAAAGAACTGTTTTAACCTGGATTTTAACATTGTCATGGTAGTAGCCTGTCTCACATTCTCAGGAAGACTGCTCCAGATTTTAGCTGCTTAAATCTGAAACGCTCCCTGTCTAGTTTAGTCTAGTCTCAGAGTCCCAGCAAGAGGCCAGTCCCTGTGCTCCTCAGATTCCCAGTAGGAAGCCAGTCCCTGTGCTCCTCAGAGTCCCAGCAGGAGGCCAGTCCCTGTGCTCCTCAGAGTCCCAGTAGGAGGCCAGTCCCTGTGCTCCTCAGAGTCCCAGCAGGAGGCCAGTCCCTGTGCTCCTCAGAGTCCCAGCAGAAGGCCAGTCCCTGTGCTCCTCAGAGTCCCAGTAGGAGGCCAGTCCCTGTGCTCCTCAGAGTCCCAGCAGGAGGCCAGTCCCTGTGCTCCTCAAAGTCCCAGCAGGAGGCCAGTCCCTGTGCTCCTCAAAGTCCCAGCAGGAGGCCAGTCCCTGTGCTCCTCAGAGTCCCAGCAGGAGGCCAGTCCCTGTGCTCCTCAGATTCCCAGTAGGAAGCCAGTCCCTGTGCTCCTCAGAGTCCCAGCAGGAGGCCAGTCCCTGTGCTCCTCAGAGTCCCAGCAGGAGGTCAGTCCCTGTGCTCCTCAGAGTCCCAGCAGGAGGTCAGTCCCTGTGCTCCTCAGAGTCCCAGCAGGAGGTCAGTCCCTGTGCTCCTCAGAGTCTCAGCAGGAGGCCAGTCCCTGTGCTCCTCAGAGTCCCAGCAGGAGGTCAGTCCCTGTGCTCCTCAGAGTCCCAGCAGGAGGCCAGTCCCTGTGCTCCTCTGAGTACAACTTCTTCCACATTTGAAAAACTCTTTGGTGACGTCCTTCCTCTACTAACATACAGTCTATACCCAGAGGTCGCAATTCACTTATAACTTAGATTGTCTCCAATGTCACATACACACAGGCCATGCTTTAAGTTCTTCAGAATGACATCTACATTCTGCTGTCTCACGTTTCATCAACAAAGCCAAACATGTATGCATGTAAAAACTAGTGATTAAGACAGGATCCATGGATATTATTACATAGTTAAAGTGTTCATGGTTTTGAGAAAAGATAATACAAAATAATCCAATATATTCGTCCCGCAGTGGGGAGATTTAAATTTTGCAGCGCACATATAGGACAGAAGTAAGAGCACAAACGGATAAAAAAAAAAATACAATATAAGTAGCTGCTGATGTGTTTCTTAGCTATAGCTGTAGATGCTTCAAGATCATTATATTGATACAGTATATCTCTATCTATATATACAGTGCACATTTTTGAAAGTGTTATTAGCCTCTCCTGATCATACCATAAATCCAACAGTTTTATAGTATGAACATAATTCAACACCTGAATGCATTATTTCTCTGCAACCTTGAAATAAACCCATAGATTTGCTAGCACTATAATCAAAGCTATAGTTAAGCGTCTTCTTAAACAAGGCCATATGTAGCGGGAGAGATACCGTCTTCCTTCTCTAAACTTAAATCTCGGAGGTGAATTACAATGTTGTGCTTTGCTACTAAATCGCGTTGCATCGGCCGGCGCACGCACGGCGACATTTCACTTATAGCTAATCGCGCCGGGGTCAAGCACATGCCTTTCCTTTTGGAGCGGGGGCGATGATAGGCCTCTGCAGTGAGTCATCGGAGCAGCTGTCCTCCACTGTACTGTACATCTGTGGCACCTCCTGCACCTCCTCCTCAAAGAGAGAGGGCGGGGGGGGGGCTATCACAGACCTTCACCCCCACTGTACAGACAACCTTTCAACAGCCACGCCTTCATCAACTAGGCCCTGGAGAACCGGCGTGGCTTTGATCGGCCCCGAACTGTACCTCGGAGGCTAAAAACAGGGCCGTGAACAGAGAGGGTTGTGGGGACTAATGCCCCAGGGCTAAATCAAGATGTTTATATTGGGGTGTTTGGTTGGTATGGTGAAACATGTGCCGTAGTTCAACACGTAAAGCCGTCTAATCCGGTGAAGAATAGTCAGCCTGGAGGTGGGAGTTTAAGCTCTATTGTAGCAGACTGTAAATGTGAAGTAGCAGAATGTTGCAACTGCTGTGGTATGGAGATAGAATAGTCTGGAGAACCTGGTCTGGCACGGACAGTATATAATAATTTCACTTAATAATTACTCTAATAATTTATCTTTCATATGTGTACTTGCTTGGTGAAATTTATCTGGTTTTGAATCTTTTAGATGCCATTCACCAACAATATACACCACATGTGTTTAAACAAAAGCATATACTAAAATTAGCAGTCAAATAGTTTCTTTTTGGTCACTTTTGGACACTACCCCAGCAGGTGGTTTGCATCAGTAAACATATATGTCACAGGTATAGGAGGATTCTTGATGGCCACTCATAGACTACAAAGAGTTACATATAGTCCTGTTTTCAGCATTTTTCATTTGTGTTTTTTCCATAAACTTGGGAGGGTATTATCACTCTAATAATGATGAATTTTGATCAAAAGCAACAGAATTTCAGGAGACAAGTGACAAATCCTCCACCAGACTCTACTCTTGATGATGCCCTTGTGAAAAAACTATCTTTAGACAAATTATCTTTTGATGTTTTATTTATTTTTTATTTATGATTAACATTTTTGTGGAAGAAAATACAGGCAAATATTTCTGGGGGACTTTAAAAGTATAGAGCAACCTGTATTTAAACATGGGTACTTGATTTGACATTCAATCTGCATGTATTTGCGTTTGCAGTACATTACGATACTTGTATTGCATTTGCGTGTGAAAAATCTATATGTTTCATTACGTTGAAAGAAAAAGTAAAGACATTTATTGTGTTGTGCGTTGATTATTGTCTACTGTGTTGTATGTTTGTTATTATCATTGATATTATTGGTTATTTTTATAGTATGGTATTAAAATTATATTCTAGTAGATACAAAATGATTTAGCTGATTGATATTGAATCATAATTTCACTATATAATAATATAATATAAAAGTGAGCGATTATTTGACTAGAGCACAAATATACATGATAGATAGATACTTTATTGTTCCACCGTAGGAGAAATTTAAGATAAATGACATAATATGTAGTAGGAAATGTGTATATAAAACTACCGCTGGTTTTGCATTTGTTATATTTCCTTGTAAATGGCGACAACCATATATTTGAGGACTTAATGGGGGTGGGAGTAAATAAGCTTGTCTTCATCCCACTCCCTTCCAAGCTGTTTATTTATTTTTATTTTTTTCCTTTTCTATTGATGTGTTAATATTGTATAGCATCGTAATGTATTTCTTTTTATCTTGTGTTGTATTGTACCGGCTTGGAATAAACTAAAACTAAATATATTTTTTTCTATAATTGAGTCTCTAGTGCTACAGTCTAACACAGATAGATTCAGTGGATGACAAACAGCCGTAGAACTGAGTGGAAATCCCAGTGACGCTGTGATGATGTCATGGAAACCCCAGCGCTCCGGGCACACACGGACTGAAAGAAAGTCTGTTTGCGTCTCTCTCTCTCCGCAGGAAGCTCCGTGTTTTCGTGACTCACTGTGAAATCCCACACAGACGGACGAAAGCGAGGGAAGCCCTTTTCCACTGCCCGGCTCCACCCACGTCCCAGACCCAGACCCAGACCCAGACCCAGGACTTTCCACCGACATTGGAGGCGGCAGTAGCTCAGTTGGTAGAGCGTTGGCCTTTGAGCCAGAAGGTCGTGGGTTCAAGCCCCGCTCAAGACTTTCACCATCGACTCCCACTGACTACTGTCGTTGTGTCCTTGGCAAGACACTTAACCTCTGGGAACACCAGCCACAGTGGGGTGGCTGCGGCTGTAAAGTGCCAAACTGCCGTTGTGTCCTTAAGCAAGACACTTCACCCCCATTGCCTAGAATGAGTCTTGTGTGTGAATGGTTGGTGGTGGTCGGAGGGGCCGATGGCACATACTGGTTGCCTCGCTTCTGTCAGTGTGCCCCAGGGCAGCTGTGGCTACAGTAGTAGTTTATCACCACCGTGTATGGAGTGAATGAATAATGACACATGTGAAGCGTCTTTGAGTGTCCAAAAAAGCGCTATATAAAACCGATGCATCATTATTATTATTATTATTATTATCTCTGTGTTAAGTGCTTGTGCCAAACTCGCTGATACATTCAAGATTCAAGATTCAGTGTTTGATCATTTATTGTCTTTGTCACAATAACAACAAAATTACATCTAGAGCAGGTGTCTCCAACCTTTTTTACCCAGAGAGCTATACTTTCCCGGCCCTGGTAAAATTTTGAATAAGGGCTCAGTTAAACAGAGTTACAAATGTCTGCTCTAAGATCATTGGCCAGCCAATCGGTTCCCTTCCTCCCCTGTGTAATCAGCCATGAGAGTGGCCTATAGGATTTTGGTAGACCCTGCTCATGTTCTCTTCCCTGTGTTTGAGTGGCTGCCTTCAGGGAGGAGGCTGCGCTCGGTGGGATGTAGGACGCAGAGGAGAAAATCCACTTTTGTTCCTACAGTGATTCAGCTGCTGGACTCGGACCCATCATTCCCAGCGCAGTGTTAAAACGCTCCTGACATTAACTTATTCAGGATGTGTGTGTAAATGTATTTATGTGTTTTTTTTGTTGTTGAGATTTTTGTGTGTAACTTGCAACTCTCCGTGCTTTTTAATTGCCCCTCAGGGATAAATAAAGTGATTGATTGATTGATTGATTGATTGATTGAAGCCTGATATTGGGTACAGGCATTATTCATCATCGCATATTTGTTATTAAGTGTTTTTTCAAGGATAGATGATGATAATGAATAATACAAACTGAAATATGCAGTGTATTATTTGATTTGTTCATTTCACAATCCTTTGACGAGCTACCTGGAAGGGGGTGGAGAGCTACTGGTGGCTCCCGAGCTACAGGTTGGAGACCCCTGATCTAGAATATTACTGTGATAAGCGCATAAAGTGCAAAAGTTGGCAGGATGTAAACAGCACAGGGTCGAGGTATATGAGCAGAACACTAACAGGTTGGAAGTGAGTGTGTTAGCTGCAGATATGTAAAAGTGGAGGATAATGGGATATTAGGCAAAAGATATCGTTCACTGAGATGCAGGACCTCTCGATATGATAACAGCTTCTTTCCATAAGCTGTTATCAGTTTAAACAGAGCACTTTAATAATCTTGCCTTCATGTCTATTGTTTTTGTTTTATTTCTGTATTTTTAATCTTGTTTAATTTATGTACTTGCACACTTTTGCAAATGTATTACAATTCTTGGGTTCCATATGACGTCAGGGCAGTGGCGCGAATAACAAACGTAGGACAGGACGTGACGTATCCTGGCGGTGCAGTCTGCCGGGTTTATACACTGAGATATAGTAGAAGAAGAAGCGCTGTCAAAATGCCATCTTCTTGTAGCAACCGCACAAATAAAGAGAAAGACAGAGTTTCTTCCATGTTCCAACTGTGGTCTCATATAAAGGAGGACACTTTGAAAAAATCACTGAAATGAGGCGAGCGAGGTGGATCAAGGCTTTCCCAGATAAGCGCTCCCTGCAGGCCACCTTCTGTTTTTTTTTCTTCCAAAATCAAGACTCTTTTGAGAAATATTTTTTAGTACCCCCTTAGAATTGAGTGTCCCCAACCGTACACCGCACAGGATGAGGACCTTTTGACTCCAAAACAGACACGATTTACATGGTTTTCAATGGAAAACTGAGTTGTCCCACCTCTGCTCATTCGCCCCCTACTGGCCAGTTTAATGAAACCCAAGAATGTGGTTTTACTGCAAATGGCAAATAAATGAATCAGTGGAGACAATATCCAGAGGCCGCATGGAACCACCTGGCTTTTCCATTTGAGCTAATGGAAGAATTTTAGCACATATAAAACACTTCCACATTGTCCGATTTTATAAAACATTTCTGCTTGAGGGTTGGTCATCTTTGCAGCGTTACTTTACTTTTAGTGTTTTACATATGATTACAATCTGTTTTTACATTCTGCATGTATTGGTGTAAAAATCACCAATTTACATCCGTTACCCACAGTCTGACGCTGATAGAGACCTTGTTATCCCGTCTACGGCGCTGATAACATAATTTCAAAGTAGTATTCTACAAACATTGGTGTGCATGCAAAATCTAATCCAGAGGGCATCTACACTGAGAGTCCTGGCTCGATCCCAGCCGCTGCTTATAACTCACAGAGAAATGACAGAAGCAACAAGCCACGGAAGAGACCTCCAAGACAACAAGAATATGAGACTATATTACACTGAGGATCAGGCCAGGCCATTTTTTATTTAGACCAATGTCAAAACAAGAGTGGCTGCAAAAGGGCTCTCCTCCATCTGACCATTCAATCTCAGCTTCAGAAGAATAACAGTGTTTGGAATAAGAGGTTTAAACAGTGGCAGAGGTTTGGAAGAGTCATTGTGCTTCTTTGAATTGGCGTTCTGTGAGAATTAAAAAGCTGTGATGTGAAATTAAATAATAAAACGTCATTTTCATCCCCTTTATTAGTTCATTTAAAACAAATCATAATATCTGCCTACACATGATATTTATAAATGTATAATCGCTCTATATGTAAATTGTTAAATATTTTGACATTTTTACACATTTTTAGTACCTAAATCTTAAACTTCTTTCCATACGATGCCCTGATCCACGCTTCAAGTTTGATGAAGAGAAGTGTAGGAGAGGCTAATAAATAATGGTTCATTCTTTTATGGTTTTACCTTTTTCTAATTTGAATCTTGAACTTTATTCTTTCCATAAAAAAGATGAAGAGAAGTGCATGAGAAGAATCTGGGATTAGGTTCAAAACTGCGACAAATGTTCTTTCAGTAAAGTGAAAGTAAGATTTAAAGGAGCCTTGATCTTTCAGCGGGGGCTTCAGGTACAGTGGGGTGATGTGTCTTGCCCAAGGACACAACAACAGCAAACAAATCATCTACAACATCCACAATATCTTGTTAAAAACATGTTAGCTTTTTATTGTTAGAGTGACTGATAGAACCAAACTGTTTTAAGAAACTGAAATATGGATACAAATCAATATACATATCAACTTTATGGCAGACTCTGACAAGACAAATAACAAACAAACTGTTATGACTTAAAAAAACAGCCATACCAGTGTTTCTACGAGGTGTCCAAGCTTTAGGGGATCACATGGTGCCTACAGTAAAGTGCAGTCTCCCTGGGGGGTGGTCCTTTTGGGTGGGGGTCTCGGGCCGATTCAGGACATGCAGGGGGATTATGTGGCTTTGTTGGCAGGAACTGGACTGCGTGGCATTCCCCAGAGGCAGCTGGAGGAAGCGTCTGGGAAGGGGGAAGTCTGGACATTGCTAATTGGACTTTTCTGGTTTTGTTGAATTCTATTGTTGTTGCTCGTCTCCCTGGAGATGAATGCAGTACAGTATGTAAGAGAGACGTTCAAGGAAAGATGTATGATGCAAGACCTAAGTCACTCTTTGAGGATTTGAGCTGAGAGCTGATTGGCTGAGACAGGGAAGTTCTCTCCTTTTAGCTTTTCTGTCGGAAAAATCTGATCTAAAGATGTGATAGAGACTGTTGTATTAAATATAGGCTAAAAGGCGATGTGAATTAGATTGACCTGAAATTGAACTCTGTCTGTCTCCAAGCAAAAAGAAAGACCTTGTATTGCCCTACTCCCCTTGTCCCATTTTGTCCAAAGTGCATGGGTGAGTTAATGATAGTTAATCTGGGGGGATTCTGCTAATCCTTTCAAGTTGTGAAAGAAGGAGATGGAGTCCAGAATCTGGAGGAGAAGCCTTGAGATCCCTCTGCCTTATCTCAAAGGAACTAATAAATCTATAGAATTAGGGAGGGGTAGTGCGTGAATGATTTCTGTTTAGGTCTGGCGAGACGGAGAAGACCTGATGGAGGCCGGACCCTGGACCAAGAGCTGACTGATACGACACGCCCCTTCTTCCCCTTGCACATTTACTTAATGAATAGCTTGAATGTGTGTGTTAGTTTTTTCAGTCCGGATCAGGGTTTAGCTGTGTGACTTGGTGGAGCGCCCAACCAATGTTACACCTTATATAGAGGATAGGGATTAGATACTTTTTGGTCCGGACAGCTGTTTTAGATTCTTTTTGTATTAGGGAAATAAACCTTTTTGAATTTAACTTTCTGAATCATGGTCATCTTTATAAGGGATTTTGAACACGTCATTTTTTAATATAATAAGACAGTGTTGGGGAGTAATGGAATAAATGTAATCCCAGTACGTGTTTGAAATACTCTCTCTGAGAAACTGTTTTCCGTTACAGTTACTACTTTAAATTCTAGTTTTAAGATTACAGTTACTCTCTGAAAATCACATGGATACATACTTTACGTGTTAAAGCTGCACTAACAGACTTTATTTTTGTATTCATTACGAAAATGCTATCCATGTCCATGTAGTGCATTGGGATATACGTCCTTTTGAAGAAAAAGTAGCGCAGATTTGTACTGGCGTAACATAATATTTTAGATTGAGTTTTGATGAAACAAGGAAGAGAATGTGTTTCGGGTCGCAGATTGTGACCAATCACAGCGGACCACTAGCCCCCACTTTCGTGAGAAATCTACAGGTCCGTTAGCATAGACGGCTGAGTTAGCACAACAAGCCGAGGAGCTAACCTGAAGCTTCGTGTGTCTTCGTCACCGGTTACTGCTTACACAGCGAGACAGCCATCCAAAAGAAAGTCTCGTTCCTCCGCGCTTCCCGGTTCTATCGTTCTATGGTCACGCCATCCACGTGCAAATCCATATCCATGTATTATCCATATTGGAAGACGCTAGCAGTGTTGCCAACTCCTCAGTAAGGAAAGTAGCTATTGGCTGTCCCAAAAGTCGCTAGAAGTTGCTAAATGACGTCATCGGCTAATTTGCATAATTGGCAATTTGCAAATAACTGTAACGGACGCTGTAGGAGAGAGGAATAACGTCGTGGGAGAGACAAAAGTGAGTAAAAAACACCCTAAATATGTTTAGAACTACAAATGTACAAAAATAATTTAAACATAAACAACATTTAATGATTTTAATGCTTTCTCTAGATCTGTCGCTAGTCGCTTTTTTGAAAAAAAGTCGCTATAGGGTCTGAAAAGTCGCTAAGTTGGCAACACTGGACGCTAGCTTCGTCAAAAACAGTGGGTGTGTGTGGGGCTTCGTGGGTGCGGGGAGGGGAGCAGAAAGAGCGAGGCCAGCGAGTCCGCGGCTTCAAAATCCCAAAGTCAGTTAATGCAGCTTTAAGATTAAAAAAAGAAAAGAAAACATTGGGTATTCTTTAGGTGAATATTATATATTTTTTCTGGTTGTTAAATGGCAGCTGTTCAAGAACTTTGACTTGTACCAAAATAAACAAATTAATAATTACAGAACAGGTTTCCTTTATGTAAACATGTATTGAGGTTTTGGTTTTATATACATATTTAAATTTACCTTTATACCTTTTGAAAACAAACTTTATTTAATTCACAATGAGTTAAAGTATCAATACAAGTATTTTGAGTATTCGGAATATATTTTGTAATGTAGCAGATAAACCACTGCTTTGACTGTACACAACATGATTTAATGACAAGGGATTTTAACAGATAATTTTTTCTGGATCATTCATTTGTTTTGACCACAAAAAGAGTGTCCTATAGTGACTGAAACTTGATGGAGTCAAAATAATAAGTCCATAAACTCTGCTCTGACAACAGCCCAACTCTACCACAATAAAAAACACTCCTGTTAGCTGTATCGCTCTATAAGCCGCCGATTGAAGATTGAAAGTTGGCTACCCCAGCTCTAAAGTCTCTTGTTTTTTGTCTGCATTATTGCATTTAAGTTTCTTCTATCACTACGAGAAACTGGCAGGAGAGCAAGTCTACAAATCTTCATGTAACAGTCTGCCGCAGAAACTATGTGATGTGGAATGAGGACACATTTCTGTTGAGGAGCCAAGACGCTGGAGACCTAGAACTGGTGTCCGGAGTCCCAGCTGGCCCCTCCTGTCCTCAGCCGGGGATGGAGATGTCTGACTGGGACAAACAGCTACAGTATGAGGAGAGGAACAACACCACTGCGGTACATACAATTACAATTAAAGGCACACCGTGTAACTCTTGGCCACTAGGGGCGCTAGACCTGCAACTTTCACGTTTAGCGCCCCTAGTGGCCACAAGCAACTCAGCACTGTCGCAAAAGTCAACAAACAGTCAGCCGGTGTCTTTTGAGTGTGTATTCAGACAGCATGCACTGGTGTGTGTGTTCAAACTGTAGAGACATGCCTACAGATATTGAGAGACTCTGCTGTGGTCAGCCTCCAGACCGCTGCATTAGTAATCTACCACACATGGACTTCTATATCCTGGATGAGGGAGTTCTGCGTCTAGCTCGTGCTGCGTGGAATGACATCTTTGCAGTCGATGACATCCAGGAACCAGGTGAAGAGCAGCGCTCATACAGACATGCAGCTTACAGCACGATCCCTTTCGCGTTTCCTCTTTTTAGCCTCCTCCGAAGGTTTAAAATTTTTCCTTGCCTCAGCCATGACCAGGAGTCGAGCAGGTGAAAAATGAGTAGCAAAAGCCTTAGCTCCATGAGTATATCAGCGCCTGTAGCCGTAAAGCAAGTCTTTCTTCCAAGTCACGTGACCTGGTGGCAGACGGTCCGTCTGCTCGAAACTTACATGGCCGGTATTTCAAGAGGGCAGCCCCGCTCGGAGCATTGCAAGTGTCAAGCGCTGTATATTGGCCCAAGTATTCATATAAAATAACTCATATGTGTCAACTCTTTAGGTCACAAAGTCCGCGGTGTGCCTTTAACTGCAAATTTCAATCATGAAGCTAATGTTGAGGTTGAGACTGGAATAACTAACAAACTAAGCTCAGTTATCCCACTTTTTCTGCACCGCAACAGCATCAGTCAATCACAAATGCTACATCAAGCCTTCATTTGAGCAGCAGATTTCATTCGTGCAGCAACCCTCCTCCTCCCCATCACCGCCTAGTTGTCCAGACCAGCTTTTCCTCACCCCCACCACCAGGGTTTAGCCTTGGTATGGGTTAAGCGCCAAATCTTAATCTCTTTTTTAAGCAAATATTGTCCCTAAAGTTGTATGATTTAACTTACGCAGTGTGACTAATTTCCAAGAAATATACAATCCAAATAAAACCCCTGTTCTGTCTATTTGAGTCTCTCCAGATTGAAATGATAAAACACAGCACTACACATACTGTATGTATACATTGTGGTGGACAAACATATTATCCTAGGCTTTCTGGTTTGGATGATCATGATTTTATGGGTTCTTCTGGCACCCCTTCCACTCATTCCCTCTCCTACCCTCAGATAGTAGCTCTGGATTTGTTGATTGTTCAAGATAGCAGCACTAATTTACATAAGTTTGACACACATGCAAGGGAAAACAATGGGTAATATTTGGTAGATTGAGAATGCTGTTATCAGACAATATGGCAGTAAAACATTTCCGATTTGTAGTGCCATCTCTGTCACCATGAGATTCTACTTGTGACACGTACTCTTTTTGCCGTTTCAACAACACTATAATTAAAATGGCATCAAACTAAAGTGATAGACTTGCAGACGAGGCCAAAGCACCAGCTCTGTGTTGAGCTCTGGGGCCCTGCAGTGACTCTGACAGTCTTCAGTGAAATGTGGAGTCTGCCAGATATCTTTCCTCTCACAGAGAAGAGAAGGAGCTACAGGCTGTAATAGTACTCTGAACTGTAGTATAAGTACTTCTACAAGTAGCAGAAGTTGGAGAAGCAGTGATGGTAATCAGAGCAAAAATAATTCTCTTTTAGGCAGTAGGAGTAGGAGTTGCAGAATGTAGTAGGAGGAGTATTCTTGTGTTCTTTGCTGGTAACAATAGTAATTTGTAGTGGTAGAAGAAGTAGTCGGAATAGTTCTAGTGGTCAAAGAATGAGTAGGAATAGTATTAGTTGTAGAAGTATAGGAGTAGTAATTGAAGTAGTAGCAGTAGTAGTAATAGTAGAAGAAGTAGAAGAAGTAGTAATTTAAGTAGTAGTAGTAGTAGTAGTAAAAGTAGTAGAAGAAGTAGACGAAGTAGTAATAGTAGTAGCAGTAGAAGTAGTATGAGTAGCACTAGCAGTAGTAGTAGTAGTAGTAAAAGTAGTAGAAGAAGTAGACGAAGTAGTAATAGTAGTAGCAGTAGAAGTAGTATGAGTAGCACTAGCAGTAGTAGTAGTGTAGTACTGTAGTTCAAATAGAAGTAGTACCGGTAACAGTCCCATTATCAGAAAATTGAGTTGAATTTCATGATTTCTTTCAAATCACATTTTTCCATATCTTCAGACGTGTAGATACTCTGTCCATGTACACGGTTTGAAAAAGGATTGGATGAAGCCAAAAGTAATAGTTCTTTGTAAGTAATTTGTGATTTTCAGTAGTAGATTAGAATAAATTCTACAAACAGATACACAATACAACGTTTGAAAAAAGGGTTTAGATAAAGCCAGACGCCCAACTCTCCCTCCCATCCACTCAAAACAACACCAAACAGCACATGTCAGTAAATCACACAACAGTACACAACACAACAGTACACACAACACAACAATACGATGCAGTTCAAGGATCAAGGTGAATTTATTCGTACCCATGGGCAGATTCTTTTTGCAGTTAAAAAAAGAGAGACTTGGCATCTAGGCAAACATATTCATAAAAACCCCATTTACACAAATAACTCTAAAAACACCACAGATAAGTAAAGAAAAGAAGGTAAAAGTGATCAAAAGGTGCTGAGTCATTTCTGAGTATAAAACCAAGATAAGAAACAAACGCAACATGCCACTGTGCAAACTACGACTGCCTGTTCATGACGGCGACTGCAGTGGGAACAAAACATGTGTTGTATTGTTGCGTTTTCGTATTGTGACAAAGTAATCACCTCAATACTATATGGTAGCACTGTAGCAGCAGCCGTCTTACCATTATTGATGCCACGAGTGTGTTTTAATGTCTGTTTGTGGCGATGAATGACTAAAAATGTAAATGATGAATTGATGTCGCATAGTATAGTGATCCATTTGATTCAACTTTATTTTAAACTCCAGATGGTTGACATGGGTTGTGAATTAGACGGTAAGTGGAGAGGGGTGAAAAGAGGATACCCGTGGGTGAGGAGACATGCCACAAGACTGAATCACCGAGCTGCAGAAGTGTTTCCTATGTCGGCTCCGGAGAGACCAGCAGGACGGTAATTAACAAGAGTGACCTGCTTCATGTGAAAAGGGAAAGGGGAAAACTCATCAGAAATGTACTAAGTAATCGAGCCAAATATAAAAGCTAATAGAAACCCAATGCAAAACAAGAAAAATCTAAAACGTTCAGGTTAGGGTCTGCGATCTGCTTTGTGTACCACCACAGTAAAAGGTACAGCTTGAAGAATAGTTGATAAAGGATTGGTTAAAGGTCAAAAACATGAATTTTTTCCTTATACGGCGATAATTTAATATAATTTTGACACTCAATTACTTGTTTAAATCTTTCGGAAAAAAAATAACAATAAAGAAACCAAAAAAATTATGTCAAAACAAAGATGAAGTGATGCCGCTTCATACAAACTCAATCTTTTTTGGAGAACATTTCAAACTAAAAGTAAAACTAAATACTTCACCGTTCATAAAACAAGAAACAAAACAATAAAATCACAAATGGCTTTAAAAAGAGTGACATTAAATTACATTGCAATTACCAATCATACTAATGGCCCTTATGTCGGGAATTTTTAGACACTCAAAGACGCTTTACAAAGGGGCAGATTAATAAGAAAACGACATAAAAAGCTATAATACACAGTTAATATGAAGCAGTTTTGAACAAGTGGGTTTTGAAGTTTGAAGTCCGAGTTCTTGAGAGTGGGAGCAGCTGCAGCGAAGGCTCGGTCTGCAAAGACTGGGCACTTTGTTGGGATTTTGGAGGTTGGCTGGAGGAGGTCGATGAGATATGAGGAGGCCAGGCTTTTATAGGGACTTGCAGGTGATGAGGAGGACCTTATAATGTATTCAGTATGGGACGGGAAGCAGACAATTCTATGACAATTATTTTGCGACCAGATGAAGCCGGATTTGTAAAGGTCATAGATTACAATGGGAGTCTCAGTTTACAGCATTAATGTAGTTACAGGGAGAGACTTGGAACAGCTTTGAGATGTGGGTTGGTTGTTGGTGTCAGCTGCACGAATCACGTTACAGATATGTCAAGTGTCCTTTGTCGAGGGGCTAAGTGCCTCCTATTGACTCTCTTTTGTAATGAATGATGTGTGATAAGTAGGTTCAGAGAGTTAGAAAGATCACTCATGTCCGAGTTGGAGGGCAGGTGACATTTTTGAAAGAATAGTTGGAAAAGAAAATGCCATACGCAAAGAAGATGTGGAACTTTGAGTTTTTGTCTCTTGTGGATTGCCCAGGGATTACAAACGAGGAACTAAGCATAGAAATTGGACTTTTAAGTTACCAAAAGTCAGATTTCTATGCAATTATTTCCAATTATTACCTGGAAATAATTGTTTGGCGACCCTCCACTTCAAAGTTAAACAATAGGCCCTGTGAAATGTTGTGACATCACATGTATGCAACCAATCAGGGCGGGTCCAGGATTTATTCTTGGTTTATCCTTATGTAAACAGAAAGGTACAAAGGTATACTTTTTGTTTTGTCCCTGCAGTAGGGAAATGTGTCCTTTGCCTTTGAACATCCTTCTATACCACTTGGGCCGTTGTCAGGAGCTTGGCTTGGTCAGGGCAGAGGCTGGAGCTGGACGATTTAACTCTGGTGCATGTTTTGGGAGGTGGGGAAACCGGAGCACCTGGAGGAAACCCAACTAGACATGGGGAAAAAACTGCAGACTCTACACAGAACGGACCTGGGTTGGCACAGGAATCGATCTTGTGACCTTCTTCAATCAATCAATCTTTATTCGTAGAGAGCCTTTGGAACACAGGGCTGTGAGGCAGTAGCACTACCCATTTACAGAAGGATGCACCATCTATTTCAAAATTGTAAGAGCTGTTTGCAGATATTAAAATGTGTAGCAAAAGTTTTCACTGTGCAGACTTTTGGGAAACAAACAAATAGATCATGTCCTTTTGGGGGTGAGAGCTAATTGACAGAGCAATGATGGCAATCCCTATGAAAGTTTAAGCAAGACGATTGCTTCAGTTGGTCAGTTTTGTGGTAATTAGGATAAGCATTAAGAAAATAATGCCCTGAAGAAAGCTGGTCCTTTTTAACTACTGTCTACACTGCTAATCTCTATACTTCACTTTTCCAACCATAAAGCTGTGCTAACAACATGCATAACTACAGTAACTATAGGTCCCAAAGCACATGGAGATAGGCAGAAAATACTGAAGGTATTTTGATCCTCTTTTCACTGTTTTGATACCACTCATCTTCTAAAATAAAACCTGTTGTGGAGGCTCAAAATATTCCACCAAACTCTTTATTCCCCCTCCCCAGCTAGGAACTGCCTCTGGACATTATCTGGCCGTGACGCGAGTGTGTATAAGTAGTGTGCATTTGAGAAGGCTATCACTGTCCTTGAATCAAATCCAAACACACCCAGATTCCAGGCACGCAAACCTGCTGTCTCACACCGACACAGTCCTACAATATCCCTTCGCGTAAACAAGATTAGGCTTTAATTAAATATGTCACGGCCGGGATGTAGACGCACACACAGGGGTTACTGGTTGCGTTGACAACGAGAGAAGCAGGAAATTCTGTTATAATGCACCACAAATAAAAGGGATAAAACAGCTGCAGCCCTGAACTTCCAGAGAGAGGTGTGGATTATCCTGGCTCCACCGCAGCCGTTCAAAGCACTCACCTCCACGACCCTCCATTCACAGAACAGCCATTTCAGATCGTGTTTACGAGCTGTTATATGGACACGAGTTGCTTAACGTCCTTTCAAAGTATGAGAGTCTTGGTGGTAATGAAATGATCGACTCTACAGATCCCTATAGGTGTTATTCAACCGTAAGCAACGTCCAGGTTTGAGTCAAATGTTCAAATTTGGTGATAAAATAGCAGCCAAAATGGATTGTAATGATAGATAATGACTTTTGACATTCATGCCACCCCTGCCATTTAAATCAAAGACTTTATTGATGTTTCATAAGACTCAGAAGTCACTGTAGAATTGGGTATCATCAAATGCATTCCTCGACAAATAACGCACAACACTGTCACACACACAAAAGAAAACATTGGGCCTCACCCCTTTATCCAACTGTGACACTATGCTTTACAATGTGATACACTATGTCATTGACTGTAAATATTAACGGATGTAGTCACGCCTATCTCCGCCATTTAAACTAGTGTGCCATCCCTTTTGCCATCTATGGGGCTTTTTCAAAATGCGTTAGCTGCTTCAGCCCCATTCATTTAACAAGTGCCTTCTGAAGTCCACAGCGGCTAAACTAGACTGGTCCAAAAATATATACTCCCCTCAGCGTTGACACATCTGGAACGCAGTGTTGGACCACGGGCCGACTTTTGGACCATCCTGTAAAGCTGTTTTTGAGAGGAACAAAGATGCCATACAAAAGCACTGGGTCCACCCCCACTGGCCAGGGGTGGTATTGCACGTATGTCCCCACTGCACTATGTCCACAGATGACTGTTCCTGTTATACCAACGATGGTAACATACAAGCACAACACTTAACCCTAACCCTCAACAATCAAAATAGTGTCACGCATCGACAGAGGCTCAGAGAGAGAGAGAGAGGAGCTTTTTAAGTACTGTCCATGTGTCGTCCACAGAGACCGGGTTCAGCTGCTCTGAGGAATCTAACTGTTTGGATTCACCATATTCTAAAGCTCAGAGCACACGTTTGTCGCTGGCGCTCCTTAAAAAGCCAGGCTGATCTCACACCTATTCACAGAAACACAATGAGCTCAGGGATAAAAAACGCCTGCTATTTTATACAATAAACAAATAGATTGGCCCTTCTGCTCCCGCGTTCTAACACACTGCCTTATACAGTGTGTGCAGTATTAAACATTTCCATTCAAGATGTTTGGCCAAGAGAGTTCCAAAGTTCCACACTTGTAAACAAAGGCTGGAATTAAATGTCAAAGCCGTAAACTTTAATTGGATGATCAAGACAAGTTCTTAGTGAGGGAACATGCAAATCCGTCCCAGAAACCACATCAAGAAAACGAAAATATCCCCTGCTCCCAGAATACTTCCCAAAATACTTCTCATTCTGTCAACTGAAGGATTTTATCTTTACTCTTTTTAATGCACGGTGGCTATTTATGATTTTAATCCCATATGTGATTTAAATGCCTTAAGCTTTTTGATTATTTAATAAAAAAAATTCTATGTTTTTAATATTTCATGTGATCTTAGTTTTTAAGGTTTATGTAGATTCTAATGTGTATGATTTATGCTTGATGTTATTTGGGTTGTGAAGGGCTTTGTGTTTGAATGAAAGAAAAAACCGTGTGATAAATAACATTTACGTTTTCATTCATTTTAAAATCCTGTCCTATTGTAAAGCCAATCTTAGTCACTTTTACCCGACTTGATAAATGTCTCAGACTCTCATCAGACAAGACTGTAATCATATAGATGCAGAAATGTTGTTTACATTAGCAACAACACCTGTTCTAAAAAACAAGGCCGGATTTAGCTTGCTCCATGGGTGATCTTAAACTTACCGTAACCTAAATGAAACAACATATCTGCGATCCGCTCTTAGACAGTGATCCAAACGCCTCATTGCAAAGTCCGTCCCTGGAGAAAACCTCTCCGGAAATATTGATCTATAAATTTGACCATGTGACTAAAGATACAAGTGTTAAAATGGTTGGTGTTGTTACCGGAAGCTGAATCTATTTAGAATCAGTTTGCTCATATGGGGTACGGCCATAAACTGTATGCAACCAGATCACGACCTGAAAAAGACCTTGGGTGTGGAACCCTTTGGCTGTAATAAAAAAAAAAACAGAGATTTCATAATGACAGCAACAATCCAACAATCTGTGCTGTGGATCCCATCTAACTGGTGTAAATTGTAAACCAGAATTTGAAATAAATTACACTATACTTTTGTCTTTTAAACAGTACAGCTGCCCTGATAGTGACTGGTGTAAAGTTGTAACATTAGAACTTATGCGGAATTATGAGTCTACTGGAACTGCCAGAGTCCTGCATTTTGAGTGTTTCCATTCAAACCAATGGGA